CTTTAACGGATATATTTCTGAAAAACAGAATAACAATACTAATATATTCTCAAATAAGAATATGTTGCATGAAGCATGCCAGTTTACAAACAAGATCAAAATGAGTGGTGAAAGAAACAAGAACAGTTTGTAGAGCGGTAGAAAAATGCTTAAATTGTTGGCAGCTTATAATGAATGCAGAACAACAGCTGATGGAGTCAGTTTACGATTAATAATGATCATAATATATTCTGAAGTAAAAATCTGTTACATAAGGCATTTCAATTTACGGGCAAAATCAACCTGTTACAAATGACACAGGCTTTATAATCACGGGTCACTGAATTCAGTTAATATGTCATAAGGCACGTTGATTGTGGAAGAATGAGGTATATTTGAGTACATTAGAACAATAAAGTAAGCAAGATTCTAATGGTTAATATACATCGTGTTGTATGTAGGTCGTGTTGCGACGAGCAACTGGTGGTCGCGAATGAATGTAAGTAAATTCCCGAACTGTTTATAACAAGTAGGAATGTGGTTATTGCATAACTAGTCAGTTAAAAACATCAACTTCAACGTGTTGCTTTGTGCTTTCTGATAATGTTTCCGAATAAATATTGAAGGCATTTCTGACTACGCAGGACGATTTCATATGCTCCACAAATGTTTTAGGTGTTATGTTATGAGATTGTCGAATAAAAGAGGGAAACAGGGAAGGGCGGGAAGCGAAACAGACAGTGCTTATGTCCAGCAAACCTCGGCATTTCATGATGGAATGATTAAGGTACGACTTTTTAGGCTTATTCTCTTTTATTAATTACCTTTTTAGGCAAGTGTTTTCAACGGGTTAAAGAAAACAAACCAAATAGTGGCATTGAACAGACAGAGAGCTTCATAAACGGAATTGGTTCAAAAGTGCTGAAGGTTTAGAATCATGTGTATTTTTAAAATTTAGTAAGGAAAACAGAGAGTGCGAATGCACAAATAATTTTTTTCATCGAAATTATTATTACTCGTCTTCATTATGGCTTTATAACGTAATGAGTGAACTCCCACTTAACGTAGCTTATAATAGGATTTTGTGGTAGGAAATGTGTAGAATTATGGTCTACTATGATATTAGTAATGCTTTAATAATAGACCTGGTCCTAAAATTGTAGATTTGTGATGATATAACTGTCTAATCTACAGGATCTTACGTGGAAGTCACATAATCGTCTACACCAACTCATTGCATCGTAACAATCACCAATAAATGATGCAGAATCGGCTCAGGCTAGAGATAGAACAATATATTTAATATGAGTAAAAGATATAATAATATATTTCTACATGTGCAGGTACACACCGTTTTTACAGGCATGATCTATAAATTACGACATTTGTTGGTTCGCAAAATACTTCCCAACTTATTAAGGTAACAGTGAACAGGGACCACGCATGCAAGGCCGTGCCATGCCACCCGATCAATTCGGATTAATTCAAATTCAGTGTTCCCGCCTCCTCCATTGTTAGGTTTTTCCCCACGTCAAATATTGATTATCTATTTTCCCAGTTGTCTCGTGTTCAGCTTTGAGGGTTGTATGGTTATGACCCAATGCCACTACATCCTTCCCGAACAACGTTGTTTGAGTTGATATTTAGTTATGGTGGCGGTCATGTTGATTTGAAATGCCTGAGTTGACAGAAATTGTACTTTATGATGGTGAATTAAAGCAATTTTCCAGAATTGGAAACGCTTAGAGTGGTTACAAAGCCAAATATTATCTTACAAACACTCTGTGAGTAATTTAACCAGAATGTCTAGAATAACATTTCGGTGTTGATAGGAACATTTATTTATTACGCTTGGTAATTTAGCAGTTTATCTAATGTAATTTAGCCTTGATTACTGATTGATCAACTGTTGATTAAATAATTGAGTGGTAATATATTTTAGGTGAAAATGTTCATCTGAACCTATGATAAATCGATCATCATTACTAACTCGGTTAGTTTGTTTTGTTTCGACTGACTGATGGCGTGTTTCTAAATTGACCCTAACGTCTATTCGTCATTCCATACTGATTTAGTTTGAAAGCTACAAGTAGTGTGATGTAGTCGTTAATTTAGGCTAGGCTAAGAGTTACTTATGAACGATTGAGGGCATACGATCGGCAAACGATAAACGAGCTGAAAGACTGTTGGATCGATAAGGGTGTAGTATAAATAATATTGTGTTGGTCAGTGTAAAACTGTATATGGTGAAGCTGGGAATCCAGACTATGAAGTGCACTCGCTGTTGAGCCAAAACGTTTATCCCTATCAAATGAGTGTCTCCAAACAACTGGAAAGAACAGGAGCGGTTAAACGCACTGCTGTAAGACTTGTCTGTCCCTTGTATGTCGCCGGGTGTGAGTTCATGTTGCACTTGTGTGTGAATTACTTGTGTTTGCTGTGTCTTCTCTATGTTCGCAAACATCGTTCCAGGTTAAAAAGGTGTCGCAAAGCTATTGGTTTAATGAGGAAAAGTTTAAACCCCCCTTTTGATGAGAAAGTGTGCAGGAAGGTGAGGCTCTGTACCACTGGTCGTAATAGCACTCCGCGTAACGATCAAATTGTTAATATTCGGTTTGGAAGCAAAACTAACTATCCCAAAATTATTACATTAGACCAGACTACGTTCTTCTGTATAGCGTACAAAGCGTTATTGAGTTACTCATATTAAATTATATCGAAACACAAACTCTGCGCTTAGTTTAAACGGTTCTAATTTAAGAAAAAGAACAAATTATATCAAAAATACAAAATGCTTCAAACGGTACAGCCTGTGTTGTGCAGCCAAGTGTTTCTCAATGCACAAATCGGCGTACTAAACAACAATAGAAATCGTTAATGCACAAGTGTCCAATACCTGAAAATCAATGAAAGTCTCCCCAAAAAGATGGTATCAGATATCTACCTTCAGGGATTCCAGAAATCCTTCCAAGCAGATAGTCAAGGATCAACAGTCACACACTGAACCACGACGTGACTTTGAGCTTGGTCAAACACAAGCTCATTGTCAACAGAAATATTAACAACAAAAGTAAGTCTTCGACCAAATCACATAGTAAGAGCACAGACGAGCAAGACTGGAGAACACAAAGTACGGTTAAAAGAGATCTGAATATAGGTTGAAATGCATGACCGGGAGAAGAAAAAACAACTGACTCTCTGTCCAATGAAATGCTATGGAGAAATTTTCAGCATTTCCTCTCCATTACACCCCTTTTTATGTCTCCAGTATCACCATAATGTGATCTTGTTCGTGGCTATATGGTGAGGGATTTGCAATTCATATCTGCATTCCGGAGTCAATGAGAATATTTTGGGGAAAGTGTGAGAGACATCTGTTCTCCTTATTGTTGTTTAATATGGTGTTATTGCCATTGCGTTAATATTATTAAATCAGTGAAGAAACTCGCTGTAATTGTATAATGGTGATTGGAGGTAATCAATAGTAACCCTGCATCCGGGTTTCGTGCTACCTGGCACTCGTCAGTAAGGTGTGTCTGTAATCTTCAGGAGGTTGGTGCTCTCTGGCGGATTCAATCCCGTGTCACTCAGGGTTTCCTGTTGACTAACTTCAACCACTATTCTATCTCAATATAGTGTACGCAATGTCAAGTCACCTAGACTAGTGGCCACATTGCAACTTGGTCGATAGCATTCGATCTGCACTAAGGAAGACTTGACACACATAACATTCATCATCATCTAGTGACCAGTCAATTGTGAATTTTCATAATTGCTAAATAAAGGCCGAATGTTGCGTTATGGTCTGTTTACTAGATAGGCTTTCACAATCGAGGACAGTCAGCAACAGTACACTCCAGTCTGCATAAGGATACCGACAGTCCCAATCGCGACAATAACTGATGAAGAATGCTCAGTATCGTCATGTTTGGTATAAATCAGTTTGTCGTGAAAATCGTTCCAAGGTGTTCCTAAGGTTATGCAAAACCATAATCTGAGAATGTAACAACTGAGTAGATACTACTGAAAGAAACGAAAGGTTTGGTGGACATCACTCACGTTAAGTATAACTTATGAGGATTAAACAATCGAACTCCATCGAGAGGACCGTGAGGCAGTGTGCAAACCATACCCTTTAATTTGTTTTCTTTCTAAACCTTGGTTAGAATGCAAACTTCTATTTGTTCTTGGCGAACATCCAGTTTAAAATTCTACAAGTGGCGACTTCAAAGTTAAGATTCTCACCTGTTGGGATTTAAGCAACTGAAAAGATAGTCTACAGCGTATTAAATGCACCTAGATATCCTTCAGTATCTTTATTCAAATTAAGTTTTAGCACAGTCTGTTGGCACAATACTAGGAATTTAGAGGTGCACTATAATTATGAGTAATGATGTTTGGGAAATGGTCTGGAGAGAATCCCAACACGACATAATTTGTCAAAACTGGAGTGTGAACTCGATGGTTCATTTAGTTGTTTCGCAACCACATCGACTATTCAAATAGCCTCAGGAGCAGGTTTTGTCATTTCAAGTTTTCTTTTTACCATTTCACACACTTCAGTTAACCAAACTTCTGCCTAGCAATATGATCCTCACTAATTCTGGAAGCTCTAATGGGATGAGACAAACTCATATACTCACATTACATGATATACAAACCCATAAATAACTACCAAAATGACTAGAATTATTACAATCGAATGGTTATATTATCACACACCGGGCGCTACTAAAAACCTGTTATCATGCTAAGACCACAAGAGATAAGTGCAAATAAATCAGTTGGCTTGTGAAAGCACATCATAAAGATATTGTATGTATTATCTAGAGACTATTTGGCGCAGTTAATTCCGTCTCAACACAAACTTACTAGATGTTCGATTCATAAAATGCTAACAGTCATGATTAAGCAAGAAGAAATAAAAAAAGATCAATTATCGGCATAGTTTATATATAAGTAACAGCTTGTTTGTTTTAATCTACTATTACGACAGTGTCTGTTTCGACAACAAACTTGCGATGGTTCGAGTTGAGCACTTTTGGCAAGATAATGGCAGGTTAATTTATGATATAAGTTCGCTTGAAAATATTACCGTCTCAAGCAACATAGGTTCCTTTTGCAACAGGCTTAAGAAATGTTTGCATGAGAAGTATATGGAACTTCTTAATAAGTTCGAAGATTGCTTTCCTAAAATAATAACTGGTACTCACTTCTTTTATTGGAGTTTCATAAGAATTAAAATTGCGAAGAACCATTTGGAGATGGGAGACACATTTAGTGGTAAATTTTACGCTGATAAACGCATAAACTTAAGCAAATGAAATCGTGTATCCTTGTGTCAATAGCAGTGGAGCTTGTTCAAATGTAGATTCACTCATCCAAAAAATGACCATCGAAGGTAAATCCATTTTAACTTTGATTACGTGAAGGTTCATCGGAGATAAATGTTTTTTCATCCAGCGAGATAGTTCTTCTCAACATGCTTGCTGGTGTTTTTCAAATATTGTTCAATGTACTGGCTATCATTCACGTTACAAATATCACAAATAAACAGTCTTTGCCAACTTACAAGGATCCTTTGCATTGGCTTTCTTGTGCTCAAAGGGTTTACAGGCTATATACACAGCAAAGTTCACCTAATACCGGTCCAGAATTTCTGGATACATTATTACGTTCAAAGTCAAATCGGATAAATGGATTCCAAGAGTCTGGAAGCCTAAACAAACAGAGTCTATCAGCTTGTCGTTTGATGTTTGAACATGAATACACAAAAACCATATTTATACTCGCACAAGTTTGTTAAATTTTGATGATACCTTTTTTATTCATGCAAAATGAATTTTTGGGTATTTTCTGAATTACGTACCATTTCGATTACTTGGAATGTTGTCATTGGAGCAAATTAAGATCTGTTTGTGGTGATAAAAAGGATACACAATTGAGACACTCATATTTGACGATTTCGCCCACGCCTATCTGTCTACTATCCTGTCAGACCACGAGTTTGGGTCAATCGGCAGGCCATTTTAAGGCTCAGTTTGACTGACTGTTAGCTACCTAACATCTCTGAAGAACTTTACTAAAAAATCAACACACTTTACCTAAATCTTAGCTGAATTAAAAGGGCCACGTTCAACTTCAGGGGAGGGAAAACAACAGGGACTTAAATGTTGGCTACATGGGTCTTTAAGCAATGTGGTTCGCTTTGAGTATCTGGATTGACTGGATTATCAACTAACTTTTAAGAGCTGCACTTAACTTCATGTGACCCGGAAGATCACTGATCCTTTCAGTTTATTGGACAGTAGAGAATTTCATTGTAATAACAATAGAGGAGTAAATTTAACTAATTTGATATCTAAAATATAAATCTTAGCAATCATTCAACTCCTATATTTAGCTCTTGAATAAAAATGTCTGCAGAATCGGTTAGATATCTGGCCATAAATTTGTTGGCCAAGTCTATAATCCTTCTGGTTTTCAAATAGATACACTTAAGGACTCCCGATTGTACTCATATTTCTACACCTTAAAATGCCAATTTATTACACCGACCGAGGAGTTTTATGACAGTGTTTGTCACTGAGTGGTGTACTTGCGAAGTAAATAAACCTTATGAATGGCTTGTAATAAAACATTTCTGGTCACATCAAAGATTATCGTGAACTTTTACGGGAGATATCAATCTTAATTGGTGTTTGTCAGGATTTCTCAATATCCCTACTCTTAGTTTACTTGGTCATATATATCCTCCTAGTAATAATATTTTTTCATATGACTTTATAGGGACCGATCTGTCAGGTAGTTAAATTCTTGATCTATAATACTTAGATGACTGGTTGTATTTGGCTAATAAGCTGGCAGAATGCAGTCTTTCAATGTTTGGAACGTGTCTTGGTACCTTTAAAGGCAAATTATTGATTTAGTACTGGTCTGTGCCACTGTTTGAACTGATCATAAGAAGTAGTAAAGTTGAGTATACTGACCACTTTTCTTATATTGTAAATCTTATCAGCTTTGGTGGGTTGGGGTCTTAACCAATTTTGCATGGATTCAGAAAACTGGCTTGACGTTTTGTGCTTGCATTAATTGTGACATCAGCGAGATTTATGTCCAGCAACCACAGGCATAGTATATCACATAGCGGTTTGCGCTGTATTACTCTGCGGATTAGGAACATGGTCGGTCACAGTAGACTATATGTGTAGGCTTCATGTGTTTGCTTAATCGTAGGTATCTTCAAGACATTACTCATGTGTCATAAGATGGCTAACTGAGTAAAGCTGGTGTTAGGCACAGGTTGCTAAGCAAATGATGCACATTGACTATTGAGGTTACAAACCTTCATCAATTGAGTTATGTTGCGAATGCACAAACATCGATTACCTCAACACGGGTTGTTGGTTGGTTAAGGGGTTGATTATAAGAAGGTTAGGCTCTGCCAAACCGAGAAATGAACCCAGTTTTTGGGGTCGTTGACAGCTGGTATAAGTCGTGTTGACAGATGTAGCATATATTGCATGGGTCTGTTTTAAAACTGCTATCAGTGGTTGAAGAATTTTTCGAGGTAACTCAAAAATCGGTTACGGTAGAATAGATTAATTTATTCATTATCTTCCTCTATATCGTGAATTTTAGTATCTCATTATATATATCTTCCGATTTCTTCTTGAACTACTTTCTCACTGTTTAGTCTCCCTTATCACTATTGCTAGTACACCATTTTGATTTATTTCCTACTCACCTTGTTGATTTCATTACATCATACTGGTCTGGCAATGCACACTTATATCAAGATCTATGTTAATTATGACTGAATGTCTACCATTTTAGTCGGATAAATAGACAATAAACTTTCTTAACTAGTTTTTCAAGAAAAAATAATTGTGTTGAATTAGTGCCTCATTATTAAATATTTTGTGACATAATAAAAGCCATCGATATGTTAATGATCAGGCTGGACTTTGATTAATATGTAAAGAGAACCAAATATCTCAATAAAGAATGTGTCAGGTTTCGTAACGAGGCGAACATATATTCATTTCGAGGTGATATATAAATTGATTGGAGTAAATCAGTGTTCTGTCGTAAGATAAGACAATATATAAACCTAATGAACTTATATTAGGTTTAATGGGAAATGAAATATGGTTTATTTTTGAAATTGTGATTTATAGCACTAAAAATGTAAAGTATTCTTTAGAAACGTTTGTTTTAATATTGCTTTTCATATTGTCATAGTTGTTAGACTAAATGTATCTATTTTGTATCTAAAAGTTCGCTGCTATTTCTGTCAAGCGTTTCGGGTTGATGAATCTCTTATTTACTATCACATATTGATATTTTACTACAATGTGTGGTATCATAAGCGTGTCATATCTGTAGGTGTTTGTCAAATGACTATACTAAATGTCATCTGCCTTTGGGGTCAGGTAATATATGACAAGGAAATATTGGTTAAAAGGTCCATGCAATTATATTATATTCGTAGCTATGAATTCCATCTCAGACAATTAAAAAATGTATCATTAACTAATCCAGTTGCAGTATGATACTACTTTTTGAGGATGAATAAGTTTCTTTTTTGATATATCTCTTTATTACAGACTTAGCTGAAACATTACTAGTGACTTTTCTTCAAACTGTTTTAATTTGCGGGACGTAGGTTTATTATATGATTTAATATTTGTTTTAGAAATAAAGACTGCGTTAGAAGTGTATCTCATCCTGAGAAAAGTGTCTGCAGCAGAACCTTATTGAATATATCTAGGAGAGTTACAATAATAACATATTCTGCATTATTATATTCATCTGCACATATTGGTTCTAGAATAGTTAATCGTAATGTGTGTTTTATGGTATACAGACTCCTAAATCTATTCAGAGCGTACTATAGTAATACAAGTGGGACAGTGGTCAAAACGGGAAGAGACTGTAAACGCATGTGTATATATTGTATTCGAACTACAAATAGAGCGAGTGATTATGTACAAAGTAATTATTAGTTAATAAGAACAAAACAGATTTCCAGTATCCTCAAGCTTTTTTAAAAACGAAATTCTTGTAAAGAAGTCTCGTTGTTTAAAATGGATCTTTCTTGAGTTCATGAGTTCGTTTTCATACCATTCGTAAGTACTGAACCGTTCCAGGTAAGTATTTAAAACACTTCCAGATATAAACCAAACCACGCGGTATATAAGCATTTTCACAAGTTAAAACTGACGAAATAATTTTTATTTATTTAGGTTCATCAGTTAATTGGGAAACGGGCTCAGTCGGCTAATTATTGTCAATTAACTTTGTTACGTCAATTGACATTCGGTAAATCTTTCAAAAAAGCTGTCAATAACTCTTCTCGTTTACAAAATAATATAATTCGTATCAAATCAGCTCATTCACTTAGAGATTTGGAAAATAGAAAATTTTCTGAACGACATCCATACTATCTTTTCCAGAACTTTGATCCTATAGAATGGGCTACAAATGCTGTCGCTTTAAGCGACTATTTCTCATCAGTTGAAAATCAAAATAACTGCTATTATAAGACGTTCGAATGTTTATTATCAGCTGTTCAGTAAGAAAAATTATGTATTTGAATCTATTTAATAATGTTTTACCTATTTATGAACCAGCATATAAAAAGATATTTGTTCCCGAACATTGTTCATTTTGTTATATGATAATGAAAAACAAAACCATCAAGAGCATAGTAAAGAAATTTTCAAAAATCAAGGATTAGTTCATAATTGTGGAACTGATTTCTTGATGGAGTTGCATTCTCTAAGCTGAATGGTTTAGTTGTATAGCTTTTATTGCCTCCCAGACATCATCAATACATACCTAAAAGTTATGACATATCCTGATGATACCTAGTAACATATAAAAGTCCAGTGATAAAATCATTCAGTTAGGGGAGGTCATTTTCCTTAAGGTTATCATGTTCTACTATGACAAAAGTTCTATACTTACATCTGATTACAGGCACGTACATAATTTAGTTTAGTCTAGTCAAATAATGCATTCTTTTCAGACTGTCCGAATACTAAACTTCATTGAAAATGATCAATGTCTGCCTACTTGTGAACAAGCTTGGAAAAAGCAACCCAGTTAGTAATTTTTGCTTTTTAAAAGCATTTATTCGATTGGTCATAAATTGTGAAAAACCTTCCCTTCAGATTTGTTAGTACTGATCCTCCAAGTTTAAAACTGTTCATTCCATCGTACGTTATTAAATAGTTTGATAATTTCTCGTTATCTAACACCTCAACCTTATAAGCTACATAATATTTATATCCAGTACACAAGATTTAAGTCTCCTCATTATTAAGTGCAATTTATTGTGGCAAATTAAGCAATAAAGCACTTTTGTGATGAGTACAGTACCATTTATTTTGGATTGCAATTTTTTGAAAATCATTATTTAATTGTAATCTAAAGTAGCAGATAGTCTTGTAATACCTGTAAATCAAATGGTTAGTAATTTTAGCAAATTCTCTCTGCACTTACAGTTATTAAATTGTGGATGATTTAACGATAAGTCAAACAGTGTTAGTCAATGAAGAATAATACTAAATCCAGCTCTCATTTTACAAAACTACATTTTGGTCAGTAAATAAGAAACTACAAATCATTATATTTATTGGGAAAATAACGTTACAAACTAAATTATTTGTTTTTAAATATCTCTGTTTTAGTGTTGTGGAAGAAGCTAGGTTTGAAGGCAACATTCCCTCCAGTCAAGTAGACAATACTTTAGCAAACATTTATCGTAATCTAGTGAAGATCAGTCTTGATCTACTTGAGAAAGGTACAAAACAATATGGGAACTTAGCTGATGAAGGAATAACCAGTGAAGACTCAGAGTTTAGGAAATATCAGGAATTACAAAACGGTAAGTTAGTAATTGGTATTAAACGGAATCTTTCTACGGCACATCATTTATATATACATTAATAAATATCAAGAATCAGTTGTACATTTTAAGTAGATCAAAAAGTATATAAAATACAAATCATCTGTACGCGTTCAGTTTCGTTTAAACCAAGTCATTGGTTAAAGGTGTTTGGTTCATGTTTATTTAAATAGTTAAAACCCAGTTTAGATAATTAGGCATACTTGGATAAAGTTGGTTTTAAAGTAATTAAAGTTCCCATTGTGTGAACCAGAATAACACATTCAACTAAACAATAGTGTTTTTAGTTAGATCAGTAAAATTTATGTCCGTATATGAACAATACTAAACTGATCAAGGCAATTTGGAAGCTAGCGATAACGACCGAAAAGATTGCATAACAACCATACTGGGTAAAAACATGAATTTTTAGTAGGATATCATGCATATTAGCAATTACAAGGAAAATAAACTGGATGGTAACATGAACAAATATTTCCTCACAGGAATCAACTCAAAAATTAGGAAAGTATATTTAGTAAAACAACAGTCGTTAGAACTACCTAACAGAAAGTGCGCGAAGAATCCTTTTAAATGTGTACGTGGTAAAGCTAAGATTTTTTAGGAGTGAGGAAAAATAAACATGAGGTGGTAGGAGGAATGAGTAAAATTGTTTAACAATTTTTTTCAGCCAAATCAAAACAGGGATTACAAACTCATTGGGAATATGAAAATTACTACACCTGTAGTAAGATCGATTCATACTTATTATAATTATTTATGTATTCCTTTTTCACTATCTTCATAGACTGGTTTAATATTTTTCGCATGAGGATATGGATATTACTATGTATTACAGTTAAGCATAGTATATATCCAGTTACCAATTTCTGAGCTGAACATTTTAATACGAAGATAATCAAACTCAAACGCTTAAAATTGGTAACTTTAACTTGAGACTATTTGTACCATTGAATACAGTGCATGGTGAAACATACTTACGCTCATCCATAGATAATAATAATAATAATAATAATAATAGTGTTTTCAAATTTCCATTTTCCGCTGAAGAGCATTCCACTGGAGAGTTACAGTTCAGACTAAACGTACAATTTGGAGCTGTTCATAAATAAATAGACAGAAGATTATAGAGTTAAAGTCACTTAGAGTTGTATAGTTAAGGAAGCAGTGAGTAATCATAACTTTTGAATGAAAAGTATTTTATTATTTATTTAGTGAAGACAAAGTATACTTTTGTCTGAATATTTACTTTTAGTTACTAAGTTTGGATCAATGTTTAATTTGGAGCTACAACCAATATTTACTGGATTATTAGACTATAATTTTAATGTAAAAAATTCAATTTCAAATGTGATTCCACAGAATAACGATTTAATTTACAAGTTAATTAGACCACCTACAAATTATGAAACAGCTTCTGGAATATTTCGCATTATATTAAATTGTTTAATGAAAGCTGAAAATTTTTATACACTACAAAACCATTGCACAGATGCAATTGCTTTGATTCAAGATCGAAGTAAAGCTTATCGCCTAATGACTGTTTTCGAAAAGAACATCAATAGACAGGTAATTATGACTATCATCTTTAAATTTGTGGCGATTATATTTACTTCATATTTCATACACATTTAATGTACGATTGTGTTGTGGTATTCCAAAGTTATATCTCTGAGTAACTAAAATGTTAACCATTTTGTTTATTTATACTTGAACCTTAGATGAGTTACCTGAAAATCTTCAGACAGGAAGCAAAAGTTAAAACCCTAATTTTGATTGGCTATCTGGGATGTTATTAAAAAATAACAAGCAATAAATTACTGACTTATCATACTTCAGGATCTTTCAGAGGAGTATACTTGAATTATTCAATCGTTTAACTTGAGAATTACACGTTTTTAGCAAACACATAAATCTTGAGCCATTGGATTGTAATCCAGTGATTACCTTATTCAATAATTTAGTCATTTCGTTTCTTCCCAATGTTAGGCATTAAAAAGAACGTTTAACCTATAGAGGTTACCGGTTGGCCTTCGATAACTTCTATTTATGAATGATTAAGGGTTCTTCTAATACAACTCATCAGGTGGGAACTCGAATAGACCAGATGTGTTTCATACAACAACACTTTAGCATTTATACTCCACATCCGAATAGGGATAGAGAAGATAAGTTTTTTCAGGAAAACTTTGTGTTCCGTTAAGAAGTCCGAAATTGATAGGGAATAACTATGTTTTTCGAAGAAAGGCCTTGATGCAAATGGCAAAGGAAAGTGACAGTAAATATTAGGAAAATGCCATCAAGTTTATCCTTATGTGAGAGAACTAACATGTAATAAAATTCCTAGATAACCTGATCACTCCTTAGCATCCAACTATCTTCCGATATCATTATCAGGAATTCATTCGACCAGATATCTATTGAAAAGTACTTGTTATCATTTCAAACAAAATGTGGAAATCTCCGCTTATTAAGTTCAGATATTTATTTTATGTTATCAGATTAAACATCGATACTAATGATAATGTGTCACTGATTTGTAAATAAGTCTTGTATCACACTCTTTCTTCACTTTAGATAATTTTAGGACCATTAGTTTCCAATAAAAATGTTAGTATTAATGAAAACAGTCAGTAAAATGCAATAATAATATTTCCAAACCTTTCGGCAAACTTCTTTTTGGCATACATTGAAATCGTAATCATTCAAAAATATATTTTATAAGTGTTTTACAGCAGTCAATATCTTCCTTGCATCGTTAATCACAAAAGTCTTTTACCGGCTCAGCTATCTATTATAACTATTTTTTCCTTGTTATACGTAAGATACATGATTTCCAATGTATTCATCTCTAGTTTTTTCTAAGGATAAGCAAGGAGAAAAAATCTACCAGTAGTTGTATTATTTCCGTTCAAGTTTTCCAGTATTTAGCATCGGATTATTGTGTAAGATTTTTTGCAATACTGAATAACTCATGTACAAAGTTTACCTATACACTTCGTATGAATAACTTTTGCTATGCATCACATTATTTTTCTTCAAATTTTTAGTGTTGTATGCATAAACGACGGATAGACATGTTAAATAATGTATTAGGACAACTAAATCCGGATCACTACTTACACGTATGTCGCCAGTTAACATTCGAACTAGCAGAAGCTTTGGGTACATTACGTGATTTGAAAAGGAAACTACTCGATGAGGTTGGTTGGATGTATTGTCTTATAACTGATTTCTTTGAAATTAACTTAAAGAATATTGATAACAGTCGCTGAGTATTTATCACTCTTATATTTTTATCTTACTATGCATATTAAATTCTGTTGACTTTATTGTATTACATGCTGCTGTCACATTTCCTTCCCTTACGGCAATTTATCTGTCGTTGCTAGGTCTCCTACATTCCTCTACTTGTCAGTTGTCATCGATCTGATTCTCCGTGGTTTTATCTGGTGAAACCCATTTGGGTTTGTATATGGGTTTGTGGGAGAAAATGATGTCATCTAAAACCATTTTGTTGGAAGCATATAGATTTGAGAGTCATTAATCTCATTGCTTACTCCCAGTCCATGTCGCTTTATGATATCTTCATATCTAGTGCCGTCCATCCTGACCTTAGCGTTTTGTCCTCTCGTCATCACCTCGCAAAACTGACCTTTATAATCTCTGCTAATGCCACTATTAGTCATGTTGCGTTCCATAATATGCATTGCAATTTTTCCTCCTTTTTAAAGAATGCTTTAGTTATCCTAGAGCCGTGTGATTCACATGCTATAATATTCTTTTCGTACTTCTTTGCACAGCATCAGTCCAACTACTTGTTTACAAGGCATCTTCTTCATGGCTACATCACTCTCTAGGGTCTAGCCTATTCTCTTGTTCTTGCGCCCTAGGGTTCCACATATTCCAAGATACTTCGAGCTATATTTTTTATTTCCTTAGTAACTTAAATGATCCTCTTAGTCTTTCATTGTCCCTTAGGGAGTCGAGGTGTAAATCACATGCCAAAACCTCCTTTATATGGTCTTGAAACCACCAGGAACCCTTAAAAGGCTCCAAGCGGAGTTATGTTGAGTGAAATGGTTGGACAATTTTTCCTTTTACACATTTATTTCGAGGTTCTTTTTTGAGATGTCTAGTACCATCGAGTTACACAGATATGTATCTGGTTTTAGGTTTGCTTCATCCGTAATATCAGTACATTCCTAAGCATTTTTCTGGATAACATTTTTTCATGGTATACATTGATTTGTCGAATATTACAAAACAACCTAGATGTATCTGGTACGTTAACAGTATTGTGCCACCAAAACTTGGGATTCCTTTGTACAATCAGTTTATTTTTAGTACCATGAACTAATCTCCATACTTGTGACAGAGCAAATTAATTTTTGAAGATATAAAATGTTACTAAAAGTAAAGCTGAATAATGAATGAACATGTACTATTGAAGAATTTTTAGAGCAATATATTACAAAATCTGTTTTAGCCGTAAAGTTTTAGTTTATATAAGAAGTCTTAATTAAGACTTACCCTTTCTCCAGTTACGATAATTTTCTAATTTCTTTAATTTGTATCTTGCTACGAGGATTGTTTTCAACTGCTCTGATGCATTCACTGAGTGTGACACACTGGCCATTTTACAGACTTTTTAACATAAAAATGACTGCCGTTATAGAATCCAACGAATTCAGTATATTATCTTCAACTATATCTGGAATAAATCGGCAGACATTTTAAGAAATAGGATCATTCATTAAAAAAAGAAAGATAAAACTTGCACTGCAAAGTATGTGTTGGAGGGATTGTATCTTTATAATCCCTCTTAAGAGATAAACAAGTATTTCAATAATATATTTGTTTTAAAAAAGATTGGTTATCTGAGCTGTTGGTATAATATTTTAAACTCATTTAATAGTGTTTATAGGATGATACGAAATACTAGTGGTGAATGATATCATATAGACAACAAGTGAAGATTTTCAAACAAGAGATAGGTAACTAGTGTCGTTTTCAGTTGTATCCGTCTAAAGCCAAAACAAGAATTTGGAAAAACATAATTTTAAATCCATTCAGATTGAAAATGACTTAACAAGTGAATTTATATTAATAACCAATTAATCGAACAGAAATATACTTAAAATATATCTGAGAGGGTAAAAATTCCCAGTTAATAGTTAGGATGTTTAAAAGCTTGAACTGATAGTCTCTCGAATGATCTTTTACTTGATTTTAAGACATTGGCATATCTCAGATGTCATTGTGATTACTATGTATTTGGTTAAACTAATGACTAATAACTAATATCACCCATGCATGTATGTACTTATTCTTCAATAGATCCCACTAAAAGAAGGTCAAGTTTCAGCACACTATGCGCGGAAATCAGATGATCTTGCAAAGAGTGCAATATCCGTTTATAGAAATTTCTTAGGATTATACGGAGTTCAGTCTGGGACGACAATAAATTTCAGTGACGATGATATAAAACCACTGATCGTAAGTTAGTCTTTTAACTGTTCAGGAAAGGAATTTTAAAATATTCAAACGGATTTAGATTTTTTCGCCAAGTACCAATATCAGCGGTATACCATTGTAAACCAAGGGGAGCCTTACTGATGTTTAACCTTAGTTTTCAAATAAACAGTATTGCATCCATATCGCCATTTGAGGTCAATTTACGTTCTTCAGGTCACCTAGCGAGTAAATTAGATTAAGACCACTGAGTTAGAATTCGAAGACTGGTATTTCTACATTCATTTAGTTTATGATATTGCACAACGGCCATCATGTGCTTTCAGTTGCATCTGTCTCACTTAGTAGTGGTCGAATCCAACAGATCCGGACTCCTGATAAGTCCTTAATATAAAATAAACGGTTGTTCACTTATACTTGGTCTCTAGTGATTCTTTGGCTGATTTCATCTCGTGATGACAAATAATTTTAGATCGAGCTTCCATCCTCACCAGTCCTTATTTGAATAATAATAATAATAATAATAATAATAATAATGAAGGAATTTTTCACAAATTTCAACTCAGTTCGCATCGAAAATTAATAAAGTAATTCGAACTTTTTAAACCGCCCAAAAGTCAGTTTCTCAGTCCTAACATTATACTAAACATTTGTGTTCAAACGTAACTTTATTGGACGTTTACTATGTTTAAATGTTACGGTTTGAATTCAACAGTCAGTTTCGTAATGCCGATTTTATCATATTATGGTTCGTCTTGCTTCTAACTGTTCTTCATAATAGTAGCGAACTGTATACCAGTGAAAAAAATGTACATGTATATTTAATTTACTAGAATATTAATCTGGTGAACGATTAAACTGATCAACTAGAAGTGAAAAAGTTCGTGTCACTTTTAGGAAGGTTGTCGAAAGGGATTTACGAGTTCTGTAGATAAGTGACTAACATAATCACTCCGTCAACTAACCGTTAGATGCTATCAAAATTATATTATTGCTTCCAAATATGATGGGTTGTTGCTGTGGCTCAGAGTTTTTTCACGACGATTTATTTAAATTATGTCTTTAGTTAACTGAGTAGTATTATCAAAAAGATACAAAATTAGTTTAAACAGCTCGTTGAGATTTTTGTTAGCGTTAGACAAGGGTTTTCATCCAAAATGGTTCACATGATTGTGAACGCAATAGAAGAAGCGTTCGCTTAACGGGTTTCCATGTCAAGTAATCATAGATCATCAATGCCTCCATACAGGAAACTAGCTAGATTAACGATAAAAGAGGAAAAAGAAATTGGTAAATGATTGTAATTTACTATCCCTAGTCCTTAGGAATATGTCAAGTTTCCTCTTAAAGGACTCTTGGGAAGTCGTCTGGACTAGCTCATCCTACAGCGAATTCCAGCATTTGACAACTCTTAATGAGTAGGTATGTTTACAGTCTATTCTGTTGTGTTGTGTCTCCAGTTTTTGGGTGTTACCCCTTGGGTTTGTGTTGGAAATAAACTTGAATTTCAGCCCTCAACTGATTTCGTGGTTTGTTCAAGAGTGTCCTTATCCTTTCGGAGTGAGGGAGGAAATACTTTCTTCGTACTCTAAATGGGGACAAATAAAACTGTCAAAGAATATGTAGAAATTTTTTCGGTCAAACTGGCCAAAAATGCGCTTCAATTTTATCAGTGCAAGGTCTACTCGAAAGGCATTTTTGTCACAGTTAGCGTAAGACTTTAAATTATAGGGTACCAGCACTCCTAAAGCTTCTTCAGCTTGGGATACTTCTAGAGGGAAGTCTCCTAAGGTGTAGCTGTAGTCCGGACAAATTTGTCGATAAGCTTTATCCGGTACTGAAGCCTGTCTTCTCTTATTGCCTTTGTGCATATGTTCCTTTTATGTTTGTATTACCTGTATGCATCGTTTGTATTCGGCCCAGTAGTGCTTTTTGCGGCTTAGCAAACCAAGGGTGCAGTTCCTGATGGTTGCAGGTCGCTTGTAGATTTTAGAGACAATTTGACGGACAGACAGCCTTGTAGCACATAAGATCGTGTTCAGTAGGAAATCTCAACGAGCATCAAGTTGAGGGTGAACTTCCCAATCCACCTACTGTAGATTGTCCCGTAAAGCTGACACATCCAACCGTCTGAAATTCCATTGCCTGTTGTTGGTGGGATGCCTTAGCTCGGCTTCGCTGATAAAACTAAAGGCTGTGACGGCATGATCACTCTTCCCTAAGGGAGGCAGAATTGAGGGGTTTTCAGTTAGGTATTCTCCTTTCGTAAATACCCGGTCTAAGCGAGACGGCATCCGACTGTTTCTCCAATGATCTGCCGACTTCATATTTTCAAATAATCTCAACACCTCAATAACTGAATAACCGAGATTCAGTAGAGTTTTCACCTCCAATAAACGTTTGTTCCGCGAAATTCACTTTAGGAAGATTGAAGTCTTCTGACATCAGGACATGAGGGAATCCGAGACGAGTAGAGTGAGATAATCCTCCTACCATACGTTTGTCTTATCGATGTCAGTAGTGGCCTCCCTGTAGATGACTCCAACTAGACACCTCCAGGTTATAGACAATCTTGCTGAGCACCATACGGACTCATCAAGATTGATAAACTCTTGGTTATGCACTTGGTGCACCTTCAGGCAAGATCGTAAGTACAAGCCCACTCCGCCCCGATTCCTGTATTTCTATCATTGCGAAACAAAGAACTCCCGGGTATTGTTAGCTCCTGGTCCGTAAACTGAGAAGATATCCAAGTTTCAGATATTTCTATCATATGAGCATTATTAGTATTTTTGAATTCACATAGCTCATCCATTTCATTCGATAAACTCGCAGAGTTCATAAATAAGCGGTTTATGCCTTCAATTTGAAATGCGTGAGCTTTCCCGTCCTGTTTATTTGCATGGATCTTGTGTTAATGGACAGGTAACCTACGTACACAGGGTTTCCCGAGTTGGTAGCTCCTGTCCATTCCACATTTTTTATGATCTAGACAGTTCACAAGTAGAACTGTCAGTTCCAACTTGCCTTTGTGTTTGATCCTGGTGTCATGTGGACTATCCAGATGCATATGGATTCCAGTTGGCAACCTGTGTCTGTGGTCACAAAATGCTTCCAAATTTGCAGCCTCCATATGAGGGGTGGGAAGGTTATCTATATCATCCGGGATCTAGAATCTCCGTCATGATTATGAGAGAATCATCGCGAACCGTTACTGTTTTCCCAAGTTTTCGTGTACTTTCAGGTTGAGGACCTTTTTGTTTGGAGGTCGAGGCGTGTTTCCAATACCTACGCTCTTTGCTGACCGGTCAGACATTCTTGGGGGTAGACTGTGCTGCCAAGTCTTCAGTTGACTTCACAGCAATATTTGGGATGTTTAGCTTCTTAGACTTTGACACCCGGTCCTTTTTAACTTTGTTAACGGTGTCCAACACCTGCAGAGGTTTTGTGGACCACCATTGCATTCGAGAATCCTGTGCTGGGAGGCCCAAGTTCACTGAGGGAGTATAGTACCGTCGATATTATGATAATGTTGAGTTACAACATAGCCTCAGTAGCGTTATTACGTTCTCCATCAATAGTAGCGCTGTCGAGATCCCTCTTCTCGTTTATATTGCGCATCTTCTTTGCATAATCGTTATAGGACTGCCTTTTTTCAGGTTTGCTGACGTTTTCCTCAGACCTGTCAAGAGAATGTGATGTTGCTCAGAGAAACCTCAGCACTCGTGTTACACGTGACACACACCCACTTATGATTGGACTTACTAAGTCTGTTGTTGGCGTTTACTGTAATGTCTGTGGACGCTTTATGAAAACCAACCTTTGCAATGGTCACACTGCATGCCAGATATAACAGCAAAAGGGAAAGTGGGTAGCTTGCTTGAATTCTTCGTGACTACGAAGATCCCAGCAAAAGTTTACGACCATAAAAAAACAGTTCACTAAAAATGGATAAACTTGACATGAAAAACCGAAAATCCGGATAGTAAGCTGAGGAAAAACCACAGTTATTTATTAAATTGGCTAAAACTCAGGAAGTAACTTACCAAACGTAAAGCTGAGGGCAGACTCATTAGATCAGAAATGGTACATTTGTTGCGTAAGGACACAGCAAAAGTTTGAGGAATACAAATCACGTTAAGACTAAACTTCGCGTTCTTAAAGCGCGTGCGTGTTGATTATGTTTACGTATTTCATAAGACTGGGATACACAGGCATAACTGAACACGCGTATTTGTTAACTAATGATGACATGTTTAGTAGTTTATACAACAGAGCTTCTACAAAACCTTCATCCCCATTAGTAGCTTTAAATACTTTTGAGCACTGAGGCTCTACCACTAAATTTTAGTATTAATTATAATCATATCGAGGGAGATAGGCATATAAATGTTTAGGAATATTTGAAGTGACCATCTAGAAAACATCATTTGAGCAAATGATCTTTTTTTCAGGTGACATGTCTTCATACTGCTCGGCTCTATTCTCAACTTATTTCGACCTGTACTACAGAGAAAATTCAAAATTTAACAAAAGCTCTAGAATTTTATGTACAACTGGTTGCTCTCGCAGAAAACCATATAAAACGTGATGCCTTGACGCCGATAAAGGATTGTGAGGAATTAAGAATAGCTAAAGAAATGGTCGTCTTATTACCGGTTAAACTCAGCCGACTATCTCAAGGTGAAATCTTATCTGATTAGCCGAAACCAAGCAAATAACTGTCCCTCATTTAATGTATATAAACTTTGAACTGACTTATGTTTGTGTAACCGATTATGGAATAACCATTACCTGGTTCGTGTTTAAATACTCCAACATTTGTCCTGTAAACAATTTTCGGTACCATGCTCGCCTTCAGTCAATTTATTACCTATATTACTAAAAGCACTCTGAATATTCTTGTCTTTGTCTCACTGTTCATTGGGTTCAACAAAGAGTGGGTTTAGTAAACAATGCACATTTAACTCTGATTAGTGCGTCTATGAGGTTAAACAAAGTTGTGAAAACTGTCAGCGTTGGCTTACTGTGTCATCTAAGACTTGCGAGTTATTGGTTTGCAATCGAAAACGTTGTAGTGACTAAGCGGTTCATTATAAATATCCGTATCTCAAAAGTGAGCTTGGAATGGTATATATTCAAACAACTAAAGGAGCATCTTTTCGAAGATGAGGGTAGCCTAACTCTACCGTCCACATTTGAGCCGCTAGATGAATGTGAACTGACGTTGCAGTCTGCGTTACACTGGGTAGACTTCAGTAAACACAAGTCGAAAATACCTCCTTTCCTTATTTTACTCAGGGAAACTTTTCTGTAGAACGGTACGTTACTATTAATACCAAATTATTACTACCCAGAAAAAAAGTTACTGATTTCACACAAGTGTCGGGTGTTACCATACGTTATGGATCAATCCGAATATTTTATCCTGTTAGATTTCACCAAGAGTCCATGACATACGTACCATTTGTATGTTGCCACTATATAAATTCAAGGTAATACCCAACATACCATGTTCAGCTGAAAAAATGTTTACCCTTACTACGCATAATAGACCCTTTTTAGATGGAAAGTTTAGGACAATATAAGCACTGAAATCCACCGTCCTCAAGATGAACGATCTATAAGCAAGTTATTAAAGCACAAAAGTTACATTGAATACGTACATATGAGGAGCTAAAATTTTGGTTACCCTAGTTCTGAAAGTCCATAGTGGCAAATAAATCCCTGGAATAAATAGTTCTGTAGGTTTTCAACATTTATGCTGAACTCATTAGTTTTACTAGATGCACCATAGCTGAAGAACCTTGGTTACGCATTCGAGCCAGATCACAAGTGGGTGCTTTGTGCAACTTGTCTCTTGCACCTAAAAGCCAGCTTAGACTAAACGCTTCTGAACAAGTTGAGAGCCATCCCACACATATCTCCGAACTCATTCCCGATTTGACTGGGCTGGTAATCTTCCATTATAAAGGTGTTGTGGACAAAGGTACTGGTTAATACTGGATATCTGTGGCATCTTTATCAAACCACTCAGTGATACTTATCATAATTCCTTTAAAATATTTTGGCTGCAAATTTTGTTTAATTTTACCCGTAATAATAAAGTTGTACGATTACGTTGTCCGATACAGAGATGTTCGACCCACACACCCATATATTCACTTTAGGATAAAATATCTGGCAGAGTTTTGTTGTATAATTTACACCCAGTGGCGCGATTTAGTCGGGTGCTTTGCATGTCAATCTATATAATATCCAGTTGGCCGTCCAGTTATCTCTTTATCGGTCATATTTTAATGATATAATGATCTATTAATATTTGAGAAATGTTGGCAGGACGCTTTGGAGAATTCGTATACGTTACAGAATAGACTTGAATCGTAAGATATTGACTTCACGCCATATACTGTGGATTTTCAGTGTTACCTTCCCTCTAATATAGTTTGTAGTGTGGTGTCGAGTAGCGTTTGACTATGAACACCACTAAAAGATGACTACGTGCCAGTTAACCGATAAAATACCCGTAAGCCAAACATCAGAAGGCAGCTGATGGCTGTAGTGAAGATGTATTTGTTGGCGATCTCGTGGTATCGAGAGGATACCGGAACCGTGCCCAAGGAGTACAGGCGTAATTACCGAGCGTAACCGAACCCATGCAAGGTCAAAATCAATGAAATGGTAATAATATGACTGTCTTGAGCACAGTTAAACAAACGAACACAGTAAAAATATCACTGGTACAACTGCAAATGTTTGTTTCCATTAAATCGCGTTCTCTTGTTAAAAGTAGGTCACTACAAGTTGTTGGTGATTCTATTGTCTCCCAGTATAAATCCAAATAAATCATAAAGAGATCTAGTTCAGGTGTTAACTTGGCACGACTATCAAGATTGCTAAGGTTCCTATACCACTGAATTTATTCGATCGCTTTAACATCTCATCTTCTTGCGCCAGTATCCCCGCATTATTGCCTTGTTCGTGGTTTGCACTGTTTGGGTCTTACAGATATTGGTTGGAGCTCAGGATCAGTGAGAATATTTGACGAAAACAGTTGTAGTTGAAGTCATGCCAATATCATTGTCAGTGGGTGAAATCGTTGCAATTTTTCGAAAAACAGACTCCTATTTCATTGTCCGTTTACTGGTCCTGATTCGACAATTGGGATACCTAGTTACATTGTATTTCATTCTTCATGAGGACATGGATATCTCAACTGCGGTAACTACTATTATTTCGGTTCATTTGTGTCCAATTATGCCTGTTATACTACGAGTCTCATTAGCGCTACTGTACGCGATTAATTCAATTACTTAAATGTACTTTTGAAAGGATTCGTACTACAGTTGTAAACTAAACCCGTTCTTCCTCGATCTTAGAGGTAAGGATGAGAAACGTAACAGATGTTTCCCTAAAGAGACTTTATTCTTGGTTTAAGACATGTGTCTCTGTAGTCTCATCTTGTTTTTAAATATCTTGAAATATTGGATATGAACATGTTAGCACCAATATAATAAATTTTCCTCAGTGTTTCGTCAATGACTCCAGCTGAAAGGGTTGGTCATCAATAATGAAATAAAGTCGCCTCAACAAGTTTGTTGAATACATTTTCACCCGACTGCCAGATAATTTCAGAAGGCATTTTAATCGTTTTTTAGTATTATCAACTGTAGGCAGACACAATATTTGTGCTTTCACTTGCACGATGACTACAAATTTCGTGTGATGCTTGACATAAGCTCTTAGTCAAATCAACCTTAATTCGTGAAAAGAAGTAACGACTGATTGGAAGAAACTAACTTCGATTCAGTTTAAAGCTGGTGGAGTATACAAAGAGGGACATTTATGGTCATTTATGCCAATTTCTATCACCATTTCAGAAGCTTTCTTCGTCACCAGGAGCACGCGCCAAATGTGAACAGATTGCACATTACAGGCCTTTAGAAAGTGGAAATACAAGCATGAGCTATTTAAAACTTTGTGTCCCCATACAACATATTAGGTAGTGAGAGCGCTCTCATAAAATAATCTGACCAGGCCATGGCCTTTGATGTTTCCCTTCATAGGTCTTAAAATAGTTTCTCAGAAGGTTTGTCGTAGAGATTAGAATGACCATCATGTTGGAAAATCGTATTTCAGGGTTTTCTTTGAGAATAAAAGAATATAGATGGCGTTCATTTACGTTGATGTTTTAAATGGACAATTTTGAAGATCTGAGGGAGAGATAGACGGACGTAATAACACTAGACAAACTATCTAAATTATCACATGAATCTCTTATATAACCATGATCCCTGAGCATATGCTTCTAGAAAATAGTGTCCGTCAAAACTTAAATCAGAATCAATATTCCACTTTTCAAAGATCTATTCGTTACGAGAAGTTATTCATATCTAAGTCATTCTTCAGCACATTGCACTGAACAGAAACTAAGATACTACGCAGGACTTCATGTAAATCACTCGGCCGCCAAGCCAGTTGGAGTAAAAATACAGATTTTTGCCACTATCACTGAATTCTATTCTTTGCTTGTGTTTGGTCTCCCATTTTTCGAACGGTCCCTATTTGTTTTTGTTTTATAGCGACTCACGTGCAATTGGGTTTATTCTCATTTAATTCAGTTAAGCCCTCACTATAACACTTTATTGTACCCTTATTATTTTGTGCTTGTATGAAATACGTATGCTTGAATATTGATTACGGCCTACGCATTTATTCACTCTGCTAGTCTTACTACCAACTGCTTATTTGATTCGATTACTCATTCATTTCACATGCTATATATATGTCCATGTTATTCATACTCACTCACTCACACACTCTCGTCTCGCTCTTGCTATGGCTCCCGTTCGCTTGCTTGCACAACTCTTCTATGCTTGTTTAACGCATCTGTACATTTGGATATATGTGTGTGGTCTCGCAATAAACGTAATCGACACTTCGTATTTGCCTTCTGATTAATATACCATTGGGTTGTTATATAGAACGGTTATCAAGACGAGCTGTATACGAAGTTTAAAGATTATATCGAATATCGACCATCACAGTTTTATTCCCATTGGAGATAGCACAGGTATTCAATGTTTGATAACGCTTTAACCAGTAACACCTTCTAATATAACTAATACCCACCATGAGAAATCAAAAGACAGAATCGAGGAGATTGGAAGATATATTTGATGACCACCAATATATCGAGAATCGTCTGATCAAATCTGGCTAGCGATTGCAGTAGATGTTGAGCACGGCGTTCCCACACGTGATCTGGTGAGGATGCACGACCGAGCGCCTTCAGCTAGGTGGGTCCATTAAAACATGTGGTCAGTACCCAATGTCGAAAACTTACAGGACTATTTATTTTGGGGATTTATTTACCGCTACACCATTGTTTCGCCTTACTTCACAGGTCAGTAATGTAACCAACTAGTGATCACCATAAGTTTAAAACCTTTAGTAAACCCAACCAGACAAACGAATGAATTGTGAGTTATCAATCATTTAATTAATAGTCGGTAAATCATATATATCCTAATAAACAGATCAAATATAAGGAAACTTAAGTTTAGCCGCTGGATAGATTAACTCGAGCTTCGTCAGAGAGTAGATTTGCTTTTCAACAATGAAAAAAGTGAATAGAATATCATAGCTTTCGTAAACTGATCATGGCAACTTAAAAAAGCTTATCTATTGAATTATTGAAATGGTACGTCGCAGGCGGGTGATCAACTCAGATGAACACTTTATTTTAAAGCGGGCTGTTTATAGCTGTTTGCCGTGGTTCCCAGTAGGTTATGACACACAGATCATCTTGTCTTCACTTTATCGTCGAAAATTGCATTACTGTGGTTTTAGTGTGGAACACTTTCCATGTTTTTGGATCCACGATTTTTACTGGTTATTCCACTTTATTAAACAAGTGACACGGTGGTGATCAATGTTTGCTTGGCGAGCCTATGATTACATTCTGGTTCATAGCAAGGAAAATAAAGGAAAACAGTAGTAGAGCAGTAAAACTACTCATTACGTAAACCACTGTTCCTGGTCGGCTAGACACGTGCCATTATTATCCAACTGATTCGTTTGGAGTCTCAGACCGTTGTGCGTAATTATAAAGCTGATTATTATGTTGCACAACTGGATTCAGTTAATTGCTCTTCAGTGGCGTCAATCAAATCTTAAATTTTACCGAGTTAGCTACAAGACGGTTTAAACCTATTTGCGACTCAACGTTTACGATCGTCTAAATGTTTTGCGAAACGGATTTCTGAAACATGTACAAACGTTTCTTATGTCATCGTCTTATTTTATAGCTAGTTTGCCGACTAATATTAATAACTAAGGTCCCAGATATTCATTGTTTCGTTGCATGTACATACTTCAGCATTGCTTAACCTGAACACCATTGAAGATACAACATTTTACGATCGCGCAACCACGCTCCTTTAGTTTCGTGATTTCATTGATTTTGTCTATTTACTTTCTTAACGATGTCATACTAGCTTCTTAAGCACTAGCCATAAGCTTAAATCATTCTAGTGTCAACCGATGTCAAATGTTTGAACGTCCATTTGTTTTCGGTAGCCAAGTAGTACTACTAGTCTTTACATATACTGCGTTTTGGAGGCCGAGTGCAAAAAAGTATATTTAGTAGTTATATTGGCATATCTATTTCAAAAGCAAAATAGACTGCTAGTGCTAGCATGGTTTACTGTTAGAGTTACCTTGAAAGTGAACTTTGTCTAAACAATGTTGGCTTCATAGTTATATGCTGTTAATTAATTCACATTTCTAACTTGTTTATCTGTTTGAACCATTGAGGCGTAAACATAAGTGTCTTATAATTATCTACAAGTATTACGCTCCTAGCACACTACATAAAAGCTGTTTTTCACAACTCTCGTGTTATCCTAATTTTCAGTGATAACCATCTATGTAATATATATGTAAGAAAGTATCAGTGAACTTTATCCAGCTTTTTAAGCTTCTAAAAATATTAAGTCGTGCCTTGTCCTTTAAATAGTTCTTTATGGATGTATAAATCGTGTCTTGAGAAACAGTTTCGTCAACCAGATGTGTAAACCCCTCTCAGCTTTACATGGTTCACTGTAGTTCTAACTTCACTAAGGTAGTTCGGGATCAAAAGTCTTTCTTATCGAATAGGCTGGTCTAACTGAATAAATCAATCATGCATCCTCACTTTATTGATTATTCTAATGCTTGACTACGTTGTATCACTCACAGTGTCTTCCTAAATCATCGAATAAAGTTGTTCAGTAACCTTTGAATCGTATATTCTCTCAGTTAAATTTGCAGGTTTCTTTTACTGAACTAATCTACGGTTGATGAATTTCTTACCAATCATGGGACGAGAAAGTATTCTCATATCATTTGTTAAGGATGTATCTGTCAGAAAATCATTGATTTTTAACCTAAGCTTTGTTATTGTGGTAGGATCCCAATGCAGAACGTTACGATTCATTTTCTCTAGTTTATAATAATTCAGATTATTTATTGACTTAGTTGTAATAATTTTACTTTTCGTAATTAAAATGATTCATGTGACTAAACTATAACAATGGGATCACATCCAGTATGTATATGCTCTGTATATTTGGCAAAGTAGCTGCTTAAATATTTAACAGTCATCTAACATTCAGTCCATAGATTAGATTTCCAAATAACAACTTTTTGGTCGACTTGTCTATTTCTTATCTTCTTTTTCAATGTGTTATTAGATATGCCATTTATTGATTACAACTTTTCGAGTCCTAATTTTCTTGAGGTTATGTGATTTTCGTCTTCGTTTTGTGTCTTGGTTTAGATACTTACAAATGGACTTTTTGAATTGGCTCACTGGGTGGAAAAGAGATTCTAACGATGATAGTCAGTTAGACTTCTCGTTCCTATTTCCTGCCACCATTGGAGTAGGATCAATAGTCATTTGCCTTGTTGCCCGCTATCGGAATGAGTTATTCGATTTAAAATCGACTATGTTCCGAAATACAAAGGATGAAAACGTTTCTTCGCGTCGTGGCAACTCCTATTCCAATTTCAGGAAGAAGCCAAAGCATTCCAACAAATCTGAATCAAATGCTACTCAAATTCGAAAAACGGAAGTTTCACAACCACTTGTAGTTGAGACACTAGCTCCAGTCTTACCTGTCCAACAAACAGAATGCGCATCAGTTCAGCCTATTCAAATTAAACAAGAAACAGTCAGCGAGGCAACAGATGGAATTGAGGCTGAGTTCTTTAACCCCATTCCAAAGAAGCAGAAAAAGTCCAAACGTTCATCTAAAACGAAAGACGCCCTAAACCATGGTTTGAATGAACAAACTGAGATCGATCCAGCATGGGTTACGGTCACTTCAAAAAAGGTAAAACTTTCCAGCCGCAACACTCAAAAGAAAAAGAACGTGGATAGCGAAGGTAAACGCATGTCGAATTTTACACTTTGTCCAATTATTGTTGTCAATTGTTTATATGACTTAATAAGGTAGTTTTTATTAATTTATATCGGATCGATTAATAAGAAGCTGAGATTTCCAAGCTATCTTGTCATGTTGCATGTTTATCGGTTTACAACTTCATCCTGTCAAATGTACTTTCTCATTTCCATTTTCCATACAGCAAACAAAAAACAACATTTGTGGCTTAATCGGCTTTGACCAATTAATTTCCGACTAGCATATAGTGTTTTTTCAAGCCATTACTTGCTAAGTAGGGAAAAACAGCAAAATTATTGTCCCCCACTACTGTAAAACCAATTATTTCTATACTATATTTGGTGTTTTCCTAGTGAAACTGCTGAAATTCTAGTAACGATCTCAAGGACATGAATAAATAGCATTCTCGTTATTATTGGAAAGTACTATAGATAAATTACTATTTTGTGGTAATCAAAGTACCAGAGATTGTTCAAGTTTAAACGGGAATACGTAAAAAATACCTAGTGAAAATCTTAGTTAACAAATTCGCCTGTTAAATATGCAAGAAAATGATGTTTTTGTGAAATTCTTTCCCAGTAGAAAAAAGCTTTCAATTCATTCTGTTTTTACGTGGAATAAAGTCTCTGAGTGCACATTAATAGTAATCATCAAACTGTTTGTTACGTAACTCAATTGGCTTTTACCAACTTGTGTCACATATGACAGGGAGATATCGATCTTTTAACCAAAGAATGAGTTTACTACGAATAAGTCCTCTCCGTTCCACTTTATGGATGTGAAATATGCCCATTTAAAATAGAGGGTATTCGTAGGTTACTAGTATTCGGTCATAGGTGTCTACGAAGCATTGCTCGTGTATCTTGAGATCACGGTGTAGCCAATACCTGGGTTAGGAATAGGATATTAGATATGGATGGCAAATCGATTGATGAAGTAGTAAATCTTCATCAACTGAGGTGGTCGGAACGTGTTACATATGCCCATCCACCGCCTACCTCGATGGGAGACATTTCCTGGTGTAGGAGTAGATCGGAAGAAAACTAGGAGCGGCAAAACCAAAACATGGCATCAGTCCATGAAGTTACTGACAAATGAACTTAGCCATGTTAATAGGTGTAGATTTTCTAGTTGTGGTATGCATTTTTGTCTTAACTAATAGTTAGAATTTTTGAATGACATGGGTCGAAATCGTTTGGAATGTCGTAGATGCATCTATTCTTTATCCTCCACAATATTCTCAGCTTCAAAATTCCTCATAACTTTTTTGTCTTTATTTCAACAATTTATATTTTCTTTTCGAGTCGTACTTCAATGTCTAATCTTTCTTACTACCACTGATACTGTTTTTACCACTACTACTCTGGGATTTGCGGTTTTTTATCAAGGTTGTTCTCTACGGGATGGGGTTGCTGACCCCATGCCCAACTGTACTCCTTTGTCCGGGGTTGAGTTCGACAGTAACCCCAGACCGGTCATATTTGCATCATTAAAAAAATTCAGAAGGTCAGTGGGAGACGTGAGAACCAAAAGATGTGCTGACATAGCTTCAGATCATCACTTGGCGGTTGCTAAAATGAAACTAAAACTAAAGAAGTACTGGACAACTGGAGAAACAACATCGAAGTAATTGCAAACATGCTCCACGTTCTGTTCAGGAAGATTTAGGAGGAAGAACAACTGCCGATGGTCTGGAAAGAAGGACACCTCATCAAGATTCCAAAGAAAGATGTGAGCAAATGTAAGGATTACAGAGGCATCACACTACTGTCAGTACCAGGAAAGGTTTTCAACAGTGTCGCTGAACAGGATGAAAGATTCGGTAGACGCCCAACTTCGAGATCAACAGGTTGAATTTCGTAAGGATTGGTCGTGCACAGACCAAAATGCCATCATCGTTAAACAATCAGTTGAGTGAAATTCGTCACTGAACATCAACTTCATTGACTGTGAGAAGGCGTTTGACAGTGTAGATAGAAGAACATTATGGGAACTTCGACACTATGGTGTACCTGAGACGATCGTCAATATCCGACAGAATTCATACGACGGGCGACGATGCAAAGTCGTGCACGGAGGACAGCTAACAGATGGATTGCAAGTAAGAACCGGTGTCAGAAAAAGCTGTCTACTATCCTCCTTCCTCTTTCTTCTGGTGGTCGTCTGGATTATGAAGACCTTGACATCTGAGGGAAAGCACGGAATACAATGGACAGCCCAAAATCAATGAGAAGTGAGGACCGGTGTCGGACAAGGCTGTTTACTCTTCCCCTTTCTTCTAGTGGTTGACTGAATTGTGAAGACTTCCACATCTCAGGAGAAGCATGGAATACAATAGACAGCTTGCATACAACTGAACGGTTTGGACTTCTCAGATTACCTAGCTCTTCTATCCCATACACACCAATAAATCCAGGCTATGACTGCCAGTGTAGCATTAGCCCTCAACATACATAAGGGAGAAAGCAATATCCCGATAAACAACACAGAGGGTACCAACCCAATCACACTTGGTGAATAAGCTCTGGGAGAGGTAGAATGTTCTACGTATCTGAACAATATTAGTGATAAATAAAATGGGTTTGGTACTGATGTGAATGCAAGGATTGGCACGACATAGACAGAATTCCTACAGTTAAAGAATATCTGGAACTCAAAACAGCTGTCAGCCAAAATCAGAGTTAGGATCTTCAATACGAATTTCTAGACAGTCCCAGTGTACGGAGCTGAGACTTGGAGAACTACAATCGTCATCATAAAGTACAATTATTTATAAACAACTGCCCACGAAAGATACTCAATGTCCGTTTGCTTGATATCATCAGCAACAACCTGCTATGGCAGAGAACAAACCAGATACCAGTTGAAGAGGAGATTTGATGCTGGAGGTAAATAGAACACACATTTCGGAAACCATCAGACGACGCTAATTTGGAATCCTGAATGGAAAAGGAAAAGAGGAAGACCAAGGGACATATTGCGTTGGAAATTAGAAGCAGACATCAAAAGAAAGAATACCAACTGGAAAGGATTGCCTAGGACAGAGTTCGATGGAGAATACTGGTGGGCGGCCTATGCTCATCTGCTAGGAGTAACAAGCGTAAGAAAGTAAGTAGTTTTTGGCCTGACAACTTTATCTCTCTGTACTAATGGGGTATGGCAAGTTAAACAGATGTACATACATACAGGTTCTACGTTTTGACTGACGGGCTGACTATGTAACTATTTTCTCCTTATTTAACCGTTTATTCTTTCTGCTTTGTTCCAGGAGATCAATCAGTGTCGGAAAATCACTCACCCATTTCTTTTGCTGAGTCACCGATCCAAAATAAACAAGCAAACAACAAGCAACAAGAGCTATCCACTAGCAATAAATCTACCTCCTCCATTGTAGAAAATAAGGTTTGTTACTTCGATAAGCTTTTTGATATCCTTTTACATATACTTCGTAGTTGCAAACAATTGTTCAGTCAATTGATACGTCTTGCACCAAAATGATTACAGAATTGTTAATATTTGATAAAGTCCTCAAAGTAACTGTTCTCAAGACATTTATATACGTCAATATTCACGGAACCTTAAAACAAATATGTTGTCAGTGTAAACTTGTTACACATTTAGGGTAGGTAGTCTGTTAGTATTGTTAACCCTTATAATAAAAATCACAGAGCCTAGTACGTAAATGGTCCCATGGTTCGTTAGTTTACCAACGTACTTTATGCTTTTAATGTTGTGCCTACGTACTATGCGAAGAGATATTCTATTGGAATAGATCTCAAAACTGAGAAACTGTTTTTCTATCTGGTTTTATCGAAATACATAATTTCCTCGTCAAATAATTTCTGCCTATTGTGAAAACTGGTTTTCTCAACTGGGTACCACACATGTCCAATACACTGCCTATTTTAGGAAATTACACTGCGTTCACGTTATGAAACACTGAATCCTGTTTATGCTAATTTAAGTTATAAATATCCTAGCATAATAACTTTTATTGAAAAAGTTAACTTACATATTATTTATAATATCCATGAAAGTTGAGTACCCGTATGATCATTGTCGTCATCAGTATGTTAAAACAGTAGTTTGTATTTTCGTTTTCCTAGTCTGATTGTTGTGTAAAAATAGATCACATTAAAAAGCACAACCCGCATTTATAATCCTATTAATTGGTTTTAATGGATTATTGTACATTCGATCCATTTCACCGTTTCATATATGAAACTTCTTTGTCATTTATCTATCAAACTAATTTTGTTGTGTTAATTTCCACATTATTATGTATAACACTCAAGTAGGTTGGCTTTTCTGTAGGCACTTCGTGTTAACAGCTTAACTGTTTTATAGGTATAGTTTGAAAACATTTCTAAATTAAATGAAACCGATATTTGTCACTTGTTTCATCTTAACATACAATTTTAACCGATACTTTTCATTGTCAGTAGGGAAACAAGAATTTCACTGTTTCTAAATGTTAAAAGCTAGGCGCTTATAGAAAAGGGTAGCCATGCTATAAAATTATTTCAAAGTAAAAAGATTTTTTAAAAGAATTGAAGTAGCTTCCAGAGTAGATTGTGTGAATTAAATCGTATATCATTAGGAAGTGTAATAGGATTCTGTTTACTTAGTATTCATATGATAAGCTTGAAAAATACTAGGTTATTACTGGGTTCCATCCAGTATAACACCCGGAATTGTGCCACACCAAAATTCAGTTATTTACTAATACAAGTAAACATTGATAATTCGTTATCACACTATAAAAGTTCAGTAAATTATATAGGGTCTACCTGTTGGTAGAACAGATACTTGACCAAAGCACGTTTCAGACAATATTTTCGACTAATCAGCGCAGATGGATGAGCTGTAAACACTCTACAATACTGTAAAGTTGATTTATATTCACTGACATTTTGATGTTTTCTGTTTTATTTGAAATATATTCATTTTAATGTTCGAGCCGTGTTTTGATTTGGAAACCAGTTGAGCAAAACGAAGTATGCAAGAATACTAGACAGTAGAATGCCGGGCCAAATAAGGAGATTTAATACTATCCTCTTTGAATAGTTGAATACATTTATCGAGCTACATTATTGAATCACTAAAACTGGTAACTGTTCGGTAACGTCTAATTCTCTCTCATTTCAAGACTACTTACTCAAGAAGTCAGAAACAAAACAGAAAGATATCGACTTAGAATGTTGTACAAATATGTACATGTTACAACAGTTTGCTACAACATAATTAATTAAGAGTACAAAATATTAAAAAGATATTATATTAGATATCGTGGGTGGAAACTGAATAATAACATAATCTTTGATACGCATCTGCGTAGTGTAGTGGTGAGGAATTACTACAACTCTTCGTGATTTATTGCTGTTTTTACCACTCAACAAATACGAAAGCTGGTTAAATTTCATCTTGGTTTTTGAATGCGGCAATCAGATCGCGTAATATTCGATTCGGATATTTAATTCTTTTTTTGTATGAGTCCATTTATATACAAGTTTATTTGGTATAGCTAATCTAAACATATAAGTGCTTTACAACTACTCGTTTCACAGGTTACACTTCACTTGATTTCATTTCACACAAGAGCTGCTAATAACAGATGCCCCTAATATCAGACTTTTGATGAATTTATTAACGTCGTGTCATATGCAAATGAATAGTCACGCATTTATTTGTTTAATGTTTTTTGATCTATTAGTCTATGAATTTGGAATTAAACACAGATCAATCATGTCCTACTAAGCGGTCGAAAGCTCCTGCCCAAACTCAACCCATGAAAACTGAACATAATGAGAATACAAAGTTGGGTACCGTAAATTCGCATACTTCAACACCTTATGAAGAGTTGTTGTACAAAAATCTTGGTGCTGAAACAGTAACAGCCATTCGATCACTGATTCTGAATAGCGAAACCCATACTTCACGTCCTTCTGAAATCCCTTCATGTGATGAGATGAGTAAACAAGTGAGTCAAACCATTTGCTTAAACCCATCTTGGAATGCATTTGTTAATAATTTTAAACTTAATACAACAAGGTAAAATGTATTCTCTTTCTTACTAATATAATTTTCGGTCGGATGGTAAAGTTCTATTCGATTGCAATTAAATATTTGTTCAAAAACCTCTAAATTAAAGAAATGACGTGAATTGATTTAGTTCATCTCATTTATAAATGAATCTATTCTGAAGCACTTTAATGTAAAAATGTTTTGAAAAATATAGGAGGATGTGAAATAGGTTCATAGCATTTCATTTCAATACATGTGGAATGGTTTCTAGTATCATGTTATACTCCTTTCAGTGATACGCTGTTATATTCATTCTTCGTTTTTCTATTTATACAGAAAATATCGTCTGTGTCTCCCAAAAGTACGAATAATATGCCTACAACAAGTGAAATTATATCACAGCATATGACAGCCCAGCTACAAGCGAAAGAAGCTGAATGTCAGGTAATAAAAGTACTACCATGTATAAATGTATATATAGTGACAACAGGAATAGTAAACCCTTATAATCTAGTTGTTATAGTGCGTTTATTTTTTGAAATTGAGCATCCACTCTTACAATCAGATGAAATATTGTTGATTATCAACTGGATGGTTTCTTCCATAAAATAACGGTACCTGTGGGAAATATATTCCTACGTTAGTTTCTTTCATCTATTGTCCTTTTGAAGTTCAGAAACTTGTACATACCACTGATTTGTAATCACTGTTTTTTAAATGTGAATTCCTTGTATTCACCGAGTGTATGTTAACATTCTATAATTTTTGTAGAAACACTCCTGTTGCCTAATAACAGTAGATAAAATTTTATTTAAGGTAATTATGAACTTCCAGTCATTAGTATAAGCATTTTACATGAAAACACTTGTACTAATGACTAGGGTTTGATAATTTTTCCTCGTGCGAATGTGGTATGGAGACTTAAACCTATACACATTTGTGCCAGTGTCTGTGTTGCAAATGACTGACTGACTTGACATAAGGGAGCGTTATTTCTTTCCCTGATCATACTATATTTACTTGTAACCGTACTGCTACTCAACAATACAGACTGATCACAAATAAGTTACAAAACTCAAGTTAATATAAAAATTAAAAAAATTTGAAAGGTCAATTGTTTTGTTTAAATAGAGTTTACATACAGAGGCAATTTCTAATTAATTTTAATGTTCAAAGATAATTCAGATTTCAGTTGTTTTTCTAATTATTTGCATCATTTCTTCCAATGTATAGTCTTTCGTTAGCTGTAGTTCACATTCACTCAAATAGGCATAGGATGAAGTTATCAAATTCAAAGAATCACTTGTGATTCATTTCCACTAATACAGTTTCATTGTTTATTATTATAACCAGTTATCTGTTTTACATTTGTCGTCTATTGAAAGTAATTTCTTTAACTGTTGTTTAAAAAGAAATTAAGGGAGAGTACATTTCACGTATCTAGTAGTAATTCATATTTTACTAAACTGATATACGCTTTTAATTGAAAATGCTTTGCAGATTATATCGTTATTATTATATTTATTTATTTAAGGTTTTGCGTACTGAAGTTGTCCATTTAAGGGATGAAGTAAAAATACTGAAAACTCTAGCTCTTAATCGTGTACCTGTCCAAAAGCCTATGACTGACGCTGAAACGATGACTGATCCAATGTAAGTTACATGTTACTACCCTGTCACTAATAATCATCATGATAATAATAAACTTACTTTTACTATATGTTTACCTACAAAGAAATAATTCTCAGCACCAAATAAATTCTTACAATAAATCCCAATTTAACACATATATAGCTATTATATATACATTAAACCATATCTTACCAGTGCTTATTTAGCATTCATTTTCAACTGTAATCAGTTTCAACCGTTCCCCCAACTCATAGTTTGTTGAATGTTACATCGGTCTTGATGTACTTCCCCATCGTTCCTCAAAAGAATAAACAAGAAATAAAAAATATCCTAACCACTATGATATTTCCACTACTTAACGTCATGATATATTGTTGGCTTTTTGCAAAACCCATAAGTACATTTCAAGATTCATAGACTTAGTTACTCCGTCAACACACATCTAAATTAGGAATGTTTATCCCAATAACTCAGCAGTTTGTAAAAAAGACGACCCAAAGTGTTGTTAAGCTCGTCAGTTGTTTTTTATTTCTGTTAAAGATTTTAAACCCATTTAGCTTTCTGTATTCATATAAGTTTCAAATGAGTGACTAAGATTTGAAACAAAGATTTTTAGTCGCTTAGAGTGAAACATCTACTGTTTTAAGGTTAAAGTTACCAAATATAAAAAAGTACTGATAATTTCTACTTGGGCGTTCTACTGAAGACCTGTTGTTTAAATCCATGTGAATAGGAAAACATTTCGAAACTCTAATACTTTATTTAAACATAGTGAATATTAGTCAGATCTTGATATTTCTACGTGAAAGGTTCTTAGCTCTCAACGTCAGACTCCGTTCATAAATATCTCATATTTTCCTAATTGTTAGTGAATCACCGGATATTAAATCCTCGCTTCCTCAGCAATCGACCGATTCAGATGCAGTTCTACTGTCGACTCTTCAAAATGAAATTGCCCGTTTAGTTAAAGAAGTGGTTATCTATCAACAACGTAGTGAAGTAAGTCGGTGCTCTTCTGTGTAATATAGTCTGTTAATATTAACCATTTTCGAGTAATTTAATTTTGGTTCATTATAACTTATATTAGTGTGTAGATATTGTTTTAGACCACACTTGTAGCAAATTTGTTTGTGTTATAATTTTGGGTTAAATGGTTTGATGAAAGAGTTGTCTATTGTTAAAATTCAACGGAAATTTGGTCGATAGAAGGCATAGAATGATACAAAGTTGTCATTTTATTTCAACACATAGATATTGGTACAAATAGGCACCAAATACATATGCACCACACAAATCTCATTCGATATGTGTGAGGGCTGTGATACTGCTCAGGTGCACAAACCGAAGCAGGTGGTTTTCTTAGGGGGCCACTCCCCGAGCCTTCGACCTGAAGGTCTGATCCACAAGGCAGTGGAGCATCGTCAGGAGATGCATCCCCACGGTAGCCGGTGACCAACAATTGGTTCATATGCCATTTGTCCCTTTAGGATACTGGAGCCCATGTGCACCACTGATTTGGTTTGGAATCCGGTTAAAGCGCCGGACATTCGCTTTTTGTCCTCTCATTTTCGTAAACAACACCCGTGGTGCGAGAGGGCAGTGAGTAGGACTTCCGTGGCAGAGGCTGTATACGCGTGGCCGTGTGAGAGTATTTCGAGAGGGAGGGAGGGTGGGCCCACCCCACTCTCGGCCGTACCAGGGCATTTGGGGGCTGTTGTCAAGTGATGGGTGCTCCTGAAATCGAGTTATTGACGTAAACCGTCGAATGATTTAGAATTGAAGGAAAGAAAACTACCCAGTAGAATATGCTTCTTGTGTAATAAAATGATATGCTTATGTACAAAAAGATTCACGCAAGAACTAACACGGTTAACTGACGTAGGTAATTGAAAGAAATTAGTTTTTATTGCACTCATTCTCTTATCAATTAAGGTTTGACTGTTAAATGTGATTTCAATTTACTATCACTGTATTCTCATAAAAATTGTACTACATAGTTTTGTTTTCAACAGCAGTTATTGGTTCACTTTATTGGCAAATATCTTTAATATGTTTCTAGTGTCATAGTACCAACTTTTACAGCTTGTTAAAAGCATCTAGCAAAACAAAACCACTGGCTAGATTTTAATAAAACTTCAAATTCAATTAAACATATACACGAGATCAAATGAGGTACTAATTAAAATGTGGTAATTTTGTTTTTCCCCCATTTATCTTATTCATTTTCCTTAACTCTCCACAAAACTGTCTTCACATACGCACACAATTGTTCAGAATATTGAAGATGTTATTATTTTCTATTTGGTCATCATATTATTATGGGGTAGCAATTTCAAAATTTTGTTAATAAATCTATTTAGTAACTAATTCTCTGACTTATGCAAAAGTACTATTTTCATGAATTATTTTCTCTACACTTAATTCACTAATTTTAATAGAATTTGAAAAGTCGTTTGGATACAGCCAATAAAAAATTATCCGATTCAAAATCTAAAGCTGCTGATGAAACTAAATTATTACAACAAACTTTAGATACACAATCGGAGAAATTATACAGTCTCGAGTCTGAGAATAGTCGTTTAGAAAAAGAATTAAAAGATGTATTACAGAAAGCTGAAATTCATCATCGAAAATCTGAGGTTTGTCAGATTATATATATGCCATTACTGTAATTCTTGTTGTTTCGATAAATCATTACTAATAGCCATGCATATTAATCTATATTTGAGTTCATTAAGACTGTTCAATAATTTTTTGTAATAAATAAAGTGAAAATTTGATCAGATGCTGTGTGTCAGTGTATTATAGATTTTATCAATGTTTCAGGGTTTCTTGGTCTTGACACTTGGTTTTGTTTCAACTACGTTTATTATTATTCAATGCCAAATCATCTTAACAATCATTATTATCATAGTTTATTAGTCAATAGGTATTTATCATATATTTATCTACGTACTTATGCATGATTATTATACTTTTAATGCATGTTATTATAGGTCAAGGATATTTTTAAATATGAAAGTTTCATGTATTCATTTACATCAAATATTGTTGACTCATCTAAAATATATGAATTCGGCTACTTAATAATTGATCAAAAGTTGCTTACATTCTAGGCTAATACTGTTTAATGTAAATATGTAACTAATACAATCTATCTAATGTTTGTCTACCGTGGAAATTTCGAATTTATCATATGTCTATATGTTTAATGCTTATTATAATCTAATTCGATAGTCAATTACAATCAACTTAATTATCTCGTATGACATTATTGCGTGTAGCTATAGAATTGTAGACTTTATGACCTAACTTGTATTTAATATTAACGAATGATTATTGATGGTAAAATATTTCTTGTTTATATATTCCAATTTTTAAAAAAAATTGTATATTGACTACTCTACTTTACCGTTTGTTCCACTGATCTTTGTAACATATCGAATATTAGTACAATGTTCTCGATGATTATGATAGAGACTATAAGTTCAAAGATAGTTATAGCTTCGTTATCGTTTGGTTTCAAATAAGATAGATATTATACATTTTGCATTAAAATTAAGAGTTTCATATGGATACAATAATTCATTTGTATACATATCAAGTGTCATTCCATCCATGAATTAACATTGGTAATAATGATAATTAGACATTCTAATTTCTAGTAACAACGACTCGTTGGTCGACATATGTGGAGCGTAAAATAAGGACTTTCATCTTGAAAAAAAATCAAATAATACCATACATCTATTTTTATTAATAATGACATTAGCGTCCTTAAAGTTTGGAATCTTGTAAACTAATGTAGTTTATCAAGGGATAGGAAAAATGTCAACTGCTTATATGATGAAGGTTTCAGTGATTGTTAGCACTGATATTTTACCTTAATTTTGCTTCTGTCATATTTTATGGGCTCAGTGACTTACAAAATTTTCACCTGAAAAATGTACTGAATGCATATTTACACCATTTCTTTTTTATGTGTTGTCAGTAGCTGCATATGTAATTTGATACATACGTATTCTTGTGTGATAAATATTTGGTGATTTTATTATATTTATTTATGTTAATTTGCTGGCTCGATCTAGAAATTTATTTAATGAGGCAGTGATACGTGTATGTCATACAATCACACTCAAGTATATATGGATATTTTTTTGACTTGACTTTCTAACCTTCTTATTTGTTGTAGGAGGCTGAACACAAACTCACACAGCGTTTGGAAGAACTAGAAGTACTCCGACTGGATATTTCATCTTTCAGGAGCAAATGTGAGGTGAGTTCATGGTTTTTATATCTATATATATGCTGTGTAGATAGTTAGATAATATCCATTCTTTCGAACAGGATAGGTTTTTAATCAGTTTGCAGGATAAATAACCTCAGTGTGAGCAATTTAGTCATCGTTTTGTGGAGTTAAAGAATAGGTCACCGGGTATTAATGAGGAGTAATTATTGATTTAAACATTTTGATGACATCTCAAGGTTTAACAACAGATATTGTTGTATATTGAAAAATGTAGCTTTTAAGATATCTCAGCTGGACAGGATTAAACATATATCGCAATATTTATTTTACTCCACTTATGGAACAACAAGCCATGAGTATGTTGGAAGTTTCATTCTACTGAACTTAAATAAATTTCTCATCTGGTAATTACTTTGTAAATTCATTTGACAAATAATTAGAGAGAACCAACAGCGAAATCTTATTATGTAAACCAGGTTTTATCAAAACCATCGTTTCCCTATTTACCGAATGTATGTATAAGGTTACCTTCGAACCTTAAAAGTAATATATTCGCTGTTTTCGAACTTCAGGCACTGGAAAACGGAAACTCTGTACTTCGGGGAGAGAAAGACATTCTAACACTCAAATTCGACGAATTAACCAATAAACATTCCGTAAGTTTCGCTGATCGTTACTGTAACTATACATTATCATTACTATTCGTCTAATTATATGTAATCATAGGCGTTTTATGATTAAAGTATGATAGTTGATCTCGCAGAACGATTCATTTATCACTTCTTGTTTTTATAAGTCCATTTCACTTGTTCTGATCAAGAAATTTGGAAAGACTGAAATATGATCTTTCTATGTATTGTATATATTCAATAAAGATAAACTGTAAAATAGAAATCACCAGTGTCTAATTACTGGTCTTTCAGTTGAATCTATCAATTCTTCAGACAGAAGTTCTGCAGCAGTTTCGTTAACGCAAATAGGGTTGATCCGCAGTTCATTGAATGAACATGTGTGTTGCATTAAACTACACTATACCATTATGCTTAATATTATCGTATGAAATATATGTTTTGTGGGCAATAATCAAATCCTAGACGCTAGTTTGGGACTCGCCAGTTGGGTGAACCTGCTTCCTTATGTTTATGTTCACGTTGAGGCTCTAACCCAGTATCGTTCACTTCAAATGTCAACGTGTTTTTCCTAGTCAAAATGACTTACAAGATTACGCTTCAAATAACTGACAGTTGCTCACATATTTGTTTGTAGTTTAACAATTGATTTCCAAATCACGCATTTAGGACACGAATGCATTACATTCAAGATTAGTTTGTTTATATACTATATTTGAACTTATATCTCCTAATAGACACATTTACACTTTACCAACATCTATGGAATATAGAAAGCTACAACTTTATTTTAAAAAAAGTATGGTTTCCTTGTTTTTTGGCTTCGTATACCAACGTTCTGTGTCTGTGACTGCTTTCAAAATATTTCGAATTGAATTTTACCCACCTCGGAAAAATTGTATTCTAAGGTCGAAAGTTATTTATAATTGTCTTGTCAAAAATATGAGTTTCACAATATGGCCCTAAACTATTAACAATTATTGTTTGGTGTTAGTTGTATATTTCTAAACATTACATCGTTTTTCTGTATTTCACTAAATCAATGCATGCAAAGTAAATACTATTTTAGAAAGTAACAAGTTACAAGTTTCGATTTTTCCTTTTGTTCTTTCTGAATTTTGTCTTCACGAACTTTTATTTATTTCAACACGTAGATATTGGTACAAATAGGCATCAAATACATATGCACCACACAAATCTCATCCGATATATGTGATGGCTGTGATACTGCCCGAGTGCTCAGACCCAAGCAGGTGGTTTTCTTAGGGGGTCACTCCCCGAGCCTTCGACCTGAAGGTCTGATCCACAAGGCAGTGGAGCATCGTGAAGAGATGCGTTCCCATGGTAGCCGGTGACCAACAATTGGTTCATATGCCATTTGTTCCTTCAGGATACTGGAGCCCATGTGCACCACTAATTTGGTTTGGAATCCGGTTAAAGCGCCGGACATTCGCATTTTGTCCTCTCATTTTCGTAAACAACACCCGTGGTGCGAGAGGGCAGTGAGTAGGACTTCCGTGGCAGAGGCTGTTAACGCGTGGCTATGTGAGAGCATTTCGAAAGGGCGGGAGAGCGGATTCTCCCCCTCTCGGCCGTACCAGGACATTTGTTACAAAATGGTAATGTATCGCTTATTCATAGTCTTATACTGATGCATGAGAATCATACCAACATATATTTTTATGCTCTTGCCTGTCACTCACCTTCGTCTTACGTGATTAGGCTAATCGCCAAACTAAGTAGTTATATTTTCTCTTCATACGTGTATAGTCACCCATTTACACTAGCAGATCAAGAATTTAGGGGGCAATGGTTCAAGCCTATCGGTCAGATGATAATATACTTGATATAAAGGATTATTTTTAACTGGTCTGTGTGATACTCATTAATCGTTTGTGGTAAACACGTTCCCTCTATATGCAAACTGTATGATATTGTGTTGATGTGAGTCGACCAATTTATTCTTTTTAAATCATATATATGACTTTCACTAATACTTCTGGACTAAACGGTAGGTTTTGTGATATAACTGCCTCAAATCTGCACAAGTTTTCAGCTGGCTCACAAAACTTAGGAGTATGAAGTAATAAGGTGATCGAATTTAAGACAAATCCAGATCTTATCTGTATTTCTCGTATCAACAATGACACAAAGGATCGACGAGATATAATTGTATTTATATGTGTATTTCCATTTATCTACGCTGCTTGATCATTGTTATTATTATGCTTGCTTTTAACAGAGTGTTCTGTCCGAATTGTCTGCATCTCAATCACAATGTAATGTACTTCGTAGACAAATAAGTGAATATGATGATCGTCTACGTCAAATAAATGATCAACATCAAATTGTTGTAGATGATATGAAGAATCAGTTAACATCATTATTATATAACCATGAAACAAAGGAAAAATCACATATCAATATGATAAATACATTAGAAGCTAAACTAGAAAAGTTAACCAATGAACATAATGAATTAAATAAATTACTTAAACTACATGAAAGTGAACTAGAACATTTACGTACTGTTGAAAAAGTTACAGTAATTCAAAGAACTAATGAAGATAAATTTATGCAAACTGTCGATGATATTCAGAAGTAATCAAATTTTTAATTTTGCAATATATATATATATATATATATATATATATATATATATATATATATATATATATATAAAGTATAATTAATCTGTTAATTCTACCTCCCGTTTGAGTTATGCTGTTACATACATCATACATCAAGTCTGAGGTTTATTATGAATGAATTGATGTTTTGAACGATTAAATCAATTTACTTCACTCTTTTAATTTAGTGTATTATTTATTTTTTGCATTTGAATTTGGTTATAAAATCAAATTATACAAAGTTGTTTTTCTTAATGAATTATCCCAATAGATTTGTACTTAGTTCTTTATTCTCCTTAAGTGTCAACTAGTTTTAATATGAATTGTATATTGTGATTTGTATAGTCTATAGTTCTATGTTCAATAAAAAAGGTGTATTCGAATTTTTGTATATTGTAAATTAGTTTACTAGTCTATCTAAATACTGGTACCATCATGCATATGTGAACGTGTTCACAATAAATATGCATAAAAGATGAAAATAAATTAATATCAAAGTGATATAATCAGTAATCATTCTCTCTATGGTTTGTACTCACGTTTTCACCGCATTTTTGTATGCTTATCTCTTCACTTTGTGTGCTTTTTTCGCCCACACAACTACTGTAACTATTTTGTACTGATTAAGAGCAAGAGTGAAATCTTTACCTCACCCGGTTCTTTAGGTAAAAGTTGATTACAGATTTACTTTTTTGGTGTCAAACGTTATGTTGTTAATGACCAATGGAGTTCAATCCGTGTCAAGTGTAAAACAATTATGCACCTCAGCTAATGGATGGCGGTTGTTCAATAGTGTGCTTTGATCGGAGTTAGACATTAATACCGTTCTATTACCACGTGCGGTATCTTGAACGTATAATGTTAAGGAGTTGCATACTAGCATAAGACAACCGTCCACTGCTTTTAAGTTTTCGATTCGGGATTTAAACCCTGAATATTAATGTTCCAAAACAGTCTTTTCAAAATTCATTTCTTGACATTCTTTGATTTATCTTTTGTATATCAACCATAGGGAAATTATTATCTACGCTATTTGAACATAAGTTACCGTACTAATTGTACCGTATTTTTATTACCTTGGTTATGAATGTTCTATCTTAGTCTTTTTAAAATTAAGTTTTACAAACTGATGTATTTTTTCGCATTGGAGATTTTTTCTCTGAGCTGGATGGTTTGGTCATGGAGCTTTCATCGTTCTTCTAAACAACATCATCAACACAAACTTCACCATCTCATATTGGAGTGTTGATTGTTGTGTTGAAAAAATAATGAACTGACAGTATTATTACGATTAATATATTTATGATGAGAACTATTAAAAAATTACGCAACAAATATAAGATGTTCTGCTAGTTCCAAGATACTCTTTCCATCTACCATGATCAAAGTAGCCGGAGATAATCTAAGATGTACCGTTTAGTAATAGCTGAGTGCTAAATCCCCATCGGACGGTTCCCCACAATTAATTTACTTGAGTTTTTGGTTTATTTCGATCACTTTTAACTTAATTTTGATGCATTATTGTTTCTTGAATTTTGAATGAAAAACGGAATTACACACATCTGATTGGCTTTCCAATAATGTCTATTTTAATAAACTTGAAATTATTATTTTTTGATATTTGTGTTTTGTTGAAATTTTTTAGCAACTCGAACTGATGTACGTACGTACGAAGTTCTACGTTGTTACTGACTGACTGACTAAACACATTCGCCTTTTGTTTATAATAGGTCCTTGTGGAAATTTCTTTAACTTGGTGACGGCTTTTTTGACGCAGATTGACATTAGTTAATGTTCCAGCAAAGCACTCTTTGCCTGTGTTAAACTATTTTAATTATCATTCAGCCTCTCAATCAAGCTCACATTCAACATGTGCTCAACCACGGGTGGGGATGGGGTTGTTATCTAGTGTGAAGAATATGTTATAAAAAATCTGGTGGTTGCCAAACCACGACGTATCAATAGTCATCATCTTTTGGTAGATGTACACTACCTGATTGTGGTCCGTTCAATAACCTCGGTCAATGGATCGAGACTTACTATCAGATTCGCTCGTAGCGGCAAAAAGTCTATCCACTTTATATCTTGCTCTGGATCATAAATCCTGGCATTCGTTCTTACTTTTTCAGTATATATTCTCATTATCATCACTACATTATTTCAACTCCTTTACGATTTATTTTGTTAATTACATCTCATTGTGCTAATATAACATTGCTAATTGGAGTAACGTTTATATTAATCAGGTTCTATGTTAAGTGAGACTCATTGATTGAGGTTTAATAGTAGTACGATCACTACTTTGTATTTATTTACATCTTTACTTGCGTTCTATATAACTGTATTAATGACAATACTAGAATCAAAATTCATGTCACTTTCATGTACGGAAAGGACTCTTGGTACTTAACCATATTATCCGTTGCAGTACTAAATAATCGTCATCAATTTTTCAAGATTAATTTTCAATATAATTCTTTTCAGTCTATCTCATTGAAAGTATATTTTTTTCTATGAGTTACATCTCTTCTCAAATATTTACTTCTGATAGTGTAATCGTCTTATATTCATCTTGTTGTGGTGGTGCTATTGAAAAAAATGGAACAGAACTAATAAATGTATAAAGCATACATATATTGTATCCTTTATACATGTATATTAAATATCTTTCTTTAGATTGATGCACTTTCGCTGATATTATCGATTTGTACTAAAATAATAAAAAGACTCCCTTGTAAACTAGTTATAGAAATGTGCTTTAAAACAAAAAAATACATTTATGGAATCATGTTCTCTAGAAAATGTGGCATCATGGTTTCTTATTACACATTGCTGATTTACAGGAAAATGTTCATATTTCCAGTCGTGAACTTCCTAAAAATTAGTCGTTGGCAAATACATGTATTTCATTATGAGTGTCAATAATTATATAAATGGGTTTTTAATCGAGCTGTTTTTGTATCCACAATATATTGTTTTATTGAGCATTGTTGCCTTCCAACGTATTCACTCGGTATGTGAAATTGCTTGACAAACATTGTTCTTGTAGCTAGTTTGTATTCTCTAGAAATATCGAATATAAGTTAACTATTAGTATAGGCTTGTAGGGATTATCAAGTTTCACGGGAATAAACGGATCAATGTTAGACCACCATCGAAAACCTGTAGACACTGGACAGTCGTTTCGTCCTAGTATGAGACTTTGCAATGCACATTCGCAACTCCACACACTGAAATCGAACCATTCTGTTACAAAATATCCCAGATGTAATCAATGTGATTTTTTATGGATATCGGTTTCATATCGCTTCTCTTGTGTATAATCTGATTGTTCTGAGCGGGGGGGAAGCTAATTTCTTGCGCTTTCTGCTTTCTAGTTATATTTTTCGCTAATCAATTTCACTGTTTTTTTCTTCAGCAATGATCCTCAAACTGATGATGGCAAGTCAAGCAACATTCATTATGAAACCATTGTTAAAATGAATGATCATACAGGCCAAACAGAATCGGATCAATTTATTATTAAGTCTAGTGAATACAAATCATTACAAAATCAAGTTGATCATTACAAGTCAGCGTTAGATGCCACTGAATCAATGCTATCTAAATTACAAACGTCCGTAAATGAAGAAGAGGCACGTTGGCACAAAGCATTGGATGCTGCAAATATTGAAAATGAATTGGTAAACTAACATTTTTTGAATGTATCTGTAGACGATTGTGTAAAATGTCTACTTGTAGGAAATCGCTTTCTATTCATTTTGTGACAGTAATATGTTGTAAACAGTTGTACGTATTTTTTGTGTCCGATCGCTCTACTGCTTCCACTCCTTATTCTTTATATTTTTGTAATATATGATATTGTGAATTGGTAATCGTCAGACATTAACATCGTTTGGTGCCGGCTCTGTGATCCAGAGGTTAAGTGTTCGCGCTCGAGATAAGAGGTCCTTGGTTCGAGTTCCACGTGCTGGATTGTGGATGCACACTTCTGAGGAGTTTTATGCTAGGACAAACTGGCTGTCCGTTGCTTCTAGGTTTTCGATGTTGGTCTAACATTGATCGATTGATGATTTCAATGAAATGTAATTCATTTCTCAAATATAAAATCTAATATTTGACTGTAAACTTAGTTGTTTATGTGTCGATAAGGCGATGACTCATTGGCGAAGGCCTTCGACTTTCAGCCATTAAATCAGCAATTAAATGACTTAGTTAACTGGGAATCATCGTTATCCCTCATACTTAGCGCGTGATTTAATGCCAAGTACACAAATTTGTGTGTGGTGTGTTTATCTCAGAAATAGTTATATACCCCTGTTGCTCGAACTGAACTAATTGAAATAGAATTAAAATCGGTGGTCTGCTAGCAGTTCAAAGCCTTGTTTATGTATGTATATTTTATTCATATTTTAAAGGCTGTCGGAGTATGCTACATAATAAAACAACATTGTTCTTTTCAAGTAGATACATGAGTTGATCAATTATTTGAAAGTTTAGTTTAAAGGTTTTAGTACATATACATTTGATCAAAGATTAAAGTGACCAATAGTTTCGTTTTACAAGTGTTGTTTATTTCGAAATAATGTGTCTTTATTTACCATAACATTATTTGGTTGTTTGATTAATCGCACGATCCTTTATAGCGTGAATGTATAAACTTTAATCAGCAAGATTTTTTATCGTATAAATTATTTATCATAGCATTAATTTAATTGAAGTGGTTTTGCAGAAACACACTCTGTTTGTAGGTTATATTCATCACAAGTGATCTCCGCTTAGGTATCACTAAATACCAGGTAGCATTAAATATCTGTTGGATTCTAGTTGTAAACTGCGCATCATGCACCACAACTCCACTAGCTATTAACCTCAAGACCTTCAGAGTTCCACCTAAAACTCTTAACTCATTCATACTGAATGTGAAACAGTTGTTACTAGTGTTTTGTCATGTGATCATCGCGTTGTATCACAATTTAATTGGAGTGAAAATTGTATCATTGAACTCTGAGCCAGTGGTTTTAGTGGTTAATTATTGGCGTTGTATAGATTCGTTAAAGTTGATATTTACTGAATAACCTTCAAGATATCTCGTATATAAGTTTCTCAGTTTAATTTGATTGAATCGTGAATTTTCTGGAGAAAACGTGTTACAGTCTAAGGGAAAGCAAATTTAAATTATGATTGTTACACAATTATATAAATTATCTATTTGTTTTCTTTACTTTCCAGTTAAAAACGAAATCAATTAAACTTGAAGCTGCTTTGAATGAATTAATAGAAGATCGTAATACTTTGACAACAACTATCGAAGAGGTTAGTGCTATTACTACAAAGTTGGTTGTTATTTTTACGACAGCAGTTGTTTTTTTATAAAAGAAAAATAACCACATATTCTGTAGAAAGTGTTAACTATCCATGCGATAATTGTATTTTCTAAAATGTGTGGTCTTTTCAATACTTTTGAAATTTTCTTATTGGCTGCTCATTTCACATAATTAGTATATTTAATCATCACAAATAACTGGTTATCAGTCTTCCGATAAATCGTTTCTCACTGAAGTGTGTACAAATACCCGATAAAAAGTTTCCAGCATTGTCTTTGGAAGTTGCTTTCAATCCTTTTGTTATTATTGTAACTTACTTTGTCAGTAATCATAATGGCTATTAAAATGTTTCATGCCCATCAAGGAAGAAGGTTTTTGTATAATTACTCATGTTAATTAGTTTAGCCGGCGAGACTTTAATTTGTGGACGAACCAATGAGTTTAAAGATAGTAAGTCTTGGACTTGGACGCGAAAATCATTCATCCACAATGTTAAATAGCATTTTGGCATTAAAGCTAATGTTCTTGATGAATACCTTTACTTTAACGTATAATCTTAAATTCTACTCATAATTCCTCATATTACTTTACAACTTTCTTTTGACACTGGTAATTAGGTGAATTATCTCAAAGTCACCCTAGCGTTTTTCGAAGATCGTCCATAACTTATAGTCCCGCCATTTAACCTTTTTTGGTAAACCTCAACATTTGTTTTCCTTTATATCGGTAGATCACTGTATTAAATTAAAATACACTGGTGAGCACTAGTAAGCAGACTTCAATATATGTAGTTCATAATGAACACAGTTCTTTAATATCACTCTCTATCCTTTTTTTATCGAACCAGTGTCATAGCTGTTACCCTTAACTATTCTTTAAAAAATCAGTTATTAAATAAGTCGCTGTACAGATTTCTCGTTAGGCTATTCAAAAATTAACTAATAATTTGGAATTCAAACTTTCTATAGTTAATTGTTGTGATGAAAAGATCTTTGTTTACTGAATGATAATTATCGATAGTCTACATCAGTTTTATTACTTTTTTCGCATTATCAGCTTCGTAAAAACAGAGAGTTTAATAATTGTAATCTGATTGAAACTTCGACTGATAATTCTCTGACAACATCCATCAGTACGGAAAAGAAGTTGAACAATTCGTCATCCATTTCACCGTCACCGTCCTCGCCATTATCAACATCAGCGACAACAACTGATGATGCTGATGAACAAAACATGTCCAAATCCGAATTGATACGCTTAGTTGCTAAATTACGTAATCTTGTTGAAGTGGAACGTAATGCATTAAAACAAGAACAATCATTATCAGCCGAGTTAAGAACAAAATTAAACGATACCGACTCACATGATGATCAGAATTATAATTATTCGAATAATAATTGTTCAGACGAGAACACGGTAAATTTCCTTTTATTATTATTATTATTATTATTATTATTATTATTATTATTATTATTATTATTATTATTATTATTAAAACGTTTTAGCCAGGATGTTATTGATAGATTAGATTTAAGGGATCTCGATAATTAAAGGATGTTTCCATTTTCTGTTTGTTTATTTATTTGTGACTCAATGTTACAAATGGACAATAAAATTAATATGCACCACACAAATAGGGGAAAGAAGATGGGGGGAGTGCGTAAGGGTCGTCAGAACCATGCCTAATAACGTCTCAAGCCAATGAGTTACACCATCTATAAGATTCTAACTAGAGTTTCAATGAACCGATGAATTCCTGTCCTGTACAGTTTTATTCCCTACCACGTTTTCGTGTTATAAACTGAATATTTCCTCTCTGCTTTTTGAAACCAGTCTAGAGTCCAAATAAAGCCCCTATGTGGAAGTCTCTATGATGACATTTCTAGTACATGCCCAATCCACCGAACCCAGCGTTTCAAATGATGACACAACTGAGTTGTCGTTCTTCAACTCTCCATCTAGCACTACTTTATATATATATTATACGCTTTTATGACCATTTGTTTATTGGGACGTAGGTGGAGATAACGAGAAGACAGCGTTCCCCATGTAATTTCTTTCTTATTTTGATGGAGCTCTGAAATCTGACAGTGTATAATGGACTGTTATGGAGAATCCAGTCAGCCATTCCTGCCCCTACTCTAGCCTTTAGTACTATACGACCGCCAATGAAACCGGACAAAGATCCTATAGGGTCTCCCGTTGAACGTGTTTTCTAATTGAGTCAATTCGTTGCACTTCTGGAGTCTTGAATACGGATCCACAAAATACAATACACATTGATATCAAGACTTTTCAAAAACATACCCAAACCTATCCGTTGTTCAATCTGCATTAGTGTGCAAATGTTGAAGAAAGCCGGTTTGAATGGCATATGTAGTATGCATTTATTGTAAGCATTTACCTCTTCGATCAGGATAAAAGTTCTACTATAGAAGAGCTGGTGGGTGAATTAAAAATAAATGTAAACAATGAATAGAAACAAAACAAATTAAAAATTAAAGCAAAGTAAAACAAAACCCCGTGTCCACAGTCCTATTAGAAGATCTGATCGGAGTCATAAGTCGACCTATGTTAGAAAATACTAAAAAATTAAACGACCTTTTGGTCCTAGGATGGGACACCTCAGGAGCGCTTATTCACAGCCCCTCACGTCTGAGTCGATCCATGGGTGCGCCCTATTTAGAAGTCCCATACTAGGACAAAACAGCCGTCCAGTTTTAGTGTCGATCTAACTTAGACTCATAATTTCAGTGAAATTTAATAATCTTCACAGCCTCATACTGATAGAGAATTTAAATTTTCGTCACACTTTTTTGGTAGAACTTTTGTTACCATTAAACTAACTGAATCATAGTTCGTTTTATAAGACTTAAGGTTGTAGCATATTGGTTAGAAATCAAGTGTTTAAACTAAACTGTTTATGCTTCAGTTCCAAAAACTAACTCAAATCCGTCATCAATGTCGATCTCTTGGATTTGAACGTAACATCACCTGATTTCGTAATTATGTAACACCATAAAGTTACTAGTAGTAAATCTATTTGTACTGGGTACATCACCAGTCTACTACACTATTTATTTTTGATCCTCTAAATATTTGTTCCTGTTCGCCTACATATTGTCGTATTGTCTTTGTATTTTCTATTTTCTAGTGCTTAATTAATAGTCCTACAGAGACTATAGAAAATGCTATAAACTATCATAATAATTCTGGTGATGATCATTATACCAATACGAAAACTAATTCTCTGCATAATCATCCAAAAGGTGGTCTACTAGAAACTGATGATGTCAAATCTGAACAATTAAACAATTGCTTTGATGTAATATCAAAAATTCCAGATTGTATTCCTCAACGTGAAATATCGTCGAATGACAGTGGTTACATTGTTCTATCCAATGGTATACATAAGGAATTAAATGGACAAGCCAATCATGATCAAATTGATAGTAATAATGCTGATGATAATAATTAATATGAAACTGCAATATAAATATGAATTTTTCTATCTACATGTTTTTCTTTTCTGTTCCCCCGTTTCTGAACTTTTCTGTTTGTTGTTTTCTTTCTTTATTGTGTTAATTTCACTTACAGTCTTCTTTCAACTAGTGTTTTGCAAATTTGTAATCAGGTAGGAAAAAGTATAAAAAATAAAAGAGAATCAAAATGAATAATTTCTTCATTTGATCTATCTTCTTGTTTCCTTAATGATTTGTCATATATTTGATAATTTGGGATTTGTTGTAATATTTAATATTGGGTTTATATTCTCTCTCTCTCTGTGTGTGTGTGTGTGGACAGTTTTGTGAAACGTGCGTGCAATGTTTTAGGCGCACCTGGTGATTACTGCCACTTGTGAAATTAGTTCTATTTATAATTTATTAAAACAATAATTGATATTGAATTATACTCTTTCTTCATTTGAGTAAAATAAAGAGAACATATCTAGTTATTACATAGGTGAATTTAGTCTACAAAAAGTTACTTTGTATTTCTGGTATATTTTCTGTTGTTGTAAATAATATTTTTTGTTGTTGCAATCTATCAATATTTACTGAAGTATGCTCATTCAGAATTCCTTATGGTTGTTTATATTCACTATATAACCATTATACACACGGTAAATTGAAAACGTTTAAGTAGTTGTATACGATAAAAAAAGAGATAAGTCAGTTTCACATACTGACTGAAAATATACTTCATTCTATTGATCATCTCTCCAAAAGTGCCTTGAGTTTTTTTAAAATATCTACTTCACATGTTTATTATATGAGAGATATAATGGGATGTTTACAAAGCTTTCCTACTGTAATACTACTGGTCTAAAATGCTTAGTGTTTTCTACTGTGGTTATTTTGATTGTAATGATGATTAGTTATTATTCATTAGGTGATCAGACATATGATCCTTGTTGTATTCATTTCTTTTCTTTATCTTCCTCTAAACATTCATATTTTCGTTTCTTTTTTAAAAAACAGTGATTTCTTTGTGTTTTTTTAAAAAAAAATTTATGGACACGAAAAGCAACTGGAACTAATTTGTCTGAGGACTTCATCACTTTTCTCCCTGTTTTTATTTACCTTTACGTTAAATTACTTGTGGATAGGCTTAGATATGTATCCTTTTTTATTCTTCCACTTCGTTTTTTATTCGTTACATTCTTTTGTTCGTATATTTTTAAACTTACTTGAACATTGATAAATTGTACGTGTTATAGCTGAGAAGGTTAATCATAATTAAATTAACTTTTGTGCTATAGTTTAGTAATGACTGAAAAGTTCTAGTGTGATGTATGCTTCTCTTTATATTCTTCAATTTCTTTTTCGTACTCTATGTTTGTGAAATCAGTAAATTTTGTAATGAATTTGTTGTTTTTTTGCTGAATGAAATAATTTATTATTTTACGCCTTTTGATTTTTGTTATTTAGATATTAGGGTAAGTAGTAGTTTAATTGGAAGTTAATCGATCGCTAGTTATATATCTGCTTTGGAATATAGTTTAATTACAAACTGAAAAGTCTTTACCTGTTAGAATAGTCGCATTGAAATTACTGTAATTCAGTTTATCTTATCGTAATGAAGTCAAGAAAATATTGATATTGATTCGTCACAATACAAAGCAATAAAATTTGGAAAGCGTGTTATAAGCAAAATGTGGACAAATTTTCCCGCCTAATCGTCAATAAGCGTACCATTTAAATTGTGAAGATGTTGCTTAGTGACTAAGACGTTTGACTTTCAGCTACTAAGTCTCGTGTTCGAGTCCTTTACTACCTACTTCGGTTTGAGCGAACGTGTAGTTTGGTTCACATCCAAGTATCGAATAAATGAGTTAATCTAAAATGCTATTAAATTCTTACTCATGTGGGCTTTAGCTTTGTTAGACTACAGTTCTGGATTTGACAAGTATTCGGTTATAGTTTGACCACCTATATACCTTTTGTCTTTCATTGTAGCTAGTATGAGATAAGGTTGTAAAATAAGCAATGGTTGTATATATAATTTCTGAGATCATAATGAACGCCGAAACTTAAAAGCGAAGTATCCGTTCGTATACTCGACTTTAATCTCTACTTCTAATGTGAAGGTCTGTAGTATAACCCAATCCTGCGAGCTGATGTAGATTAAACAACAGTTAATGATTGAAAGTTTATAAACTTATTTAGCCTATACTTACATTCTTTAGATAATATCAATCAAGTTCGATTCTATTATCAATAATCTAATTAGATATTGTCATGTGAATTAAAATTACTTTTATACCTAGTTGTATAACTTGCAAAACTATTTCTCACAATTCTATTTCTTCCTTTTATTTCTCTTAGACGAAACGAACTATGATTGTTCTAATTAGAACTATAAAGTAAAAAAAAAATTGCCTAGTTATATGTTGACAGTTTCTAGCCAGTAGATTGATTTCTAATCGTTTTGAGAATTTGAAAACAGTCACCTATTTTCATTTATATATATATATATATATAGACAAGCAGTATTAATAATGATAATAATTATAACAATAATGTAGACTGTCATAGAAATACTATGAAAATGTATCCTAAATAATTAACATTTATAATAAAACTTGTAAATTTCAAAGTCATATGATAAGAATTGTTCATGATGGTTATTGTGCCAAATGATGACCAGTTTTAAATGTTTATTTCAATTTATCATATTGTTATAAATATAAACATAACCTAATTGGAAATATTCATTAAGTGAATTAAAAAGAAGGAACATTCTAGTGTAGACTTTGGAATTTCAATACATTGAATATTTATTAATGGTTATTTATTTAGTTATTCGGTATTTTCAATGAATTTAATTAATTAGCATTGTCAAATATACATACTTTTGTTGATGGAGTTTATTTACCCCAGTGTAATACGCATCAGGATGTGTATTTTGTTACACGTTTGCATAATTTAAACTCTCTGATTTCTCGATGCTCATTGGTTCTGTGTCTGATCATCGACTCCTTTTAATCATTTCAGAGCTCTGAAATGTACCTCTAAGATTCAATAATCTATTTAAGTATAATCAATTAATGTTTTTGTTATTGAACAGCTAATTTGTTATCCTGATCTTATTTTACCCATGTCTTCCTTCCCTGCGAATGTCATACTTTGTGTTATATTTTCCAACACCGGTTGGGTAAAACAGATGGAAAGGTAGCCAATTGATGAAACAGCGCTACATATTGAAGGACAGTTATTTGTTTATCGAAGTGATTATTCTATTGTTTATTTTAGTCTGTCATCTGTGTGGCCATTGTTTCCATGTTTATATTGACTGTTTTCATATCTCACCTTGGATTTCTTTATCCTTTCCCTCATTGGTTATTAGGTTGAGTAGGTTTCATTGTTTATTCACTGTTGCATAATCAGAGTGTCAAGCTTCTAACGATTTTCTGGCATTTTTTTGTTTTCTCGGTCAATTATTTTGACATTTTCTCAATCTAAATAACGTCCATATTTGTCCACATGGCTTGTCATAAGAAAAGTCATTTCGTGACGTTTAACCGCTAGTTGATGCTCAGGTAGATGTCAATGGGTCGGGTGGTCACGTTTTTCTATTTATTGGTTCACACAGCTGCTGTAGTTGATTTTATAGTTGATGTCTGGTTTCTTTCCGTTGATTGTGGAGAAATTCGAATAATTCATTTCTTACTGAATTATGTGATCTGGTAATGTCGAAAAAGACAATGAACACTTTGCAATTAAACTATTCAACTCTGATAATAAAACACTTTCAAATTCCTCATCCTAAACTACAAATATTCTTCATCATTCACATATCTTTCTATAGGGTCTAAACGATTGTACAAGGCAACAGCTTATGAAGTAATCAAATATTTTATAGATCAAATTGTAGCAATGATTCTACTATAGTTATCTATTGTCACACACAATAAGATTTACTACACAGCTGAGATATAATCTGTATTCTTTCGTTTCTCTTTTTTTTAATATTCCCTCATCTATTTTGTCATAAAATGTTTCGCTTAGTGTTTTTGGATGATTTATTTCTTTGTATCGTATAGTATCATAACAAGCATAATTCAATAGGGCTGTTAATCATTTCTTACTTAAGTATTCAATTCTTAGTGTATTTCACTAAAAAATGAATGTCAATTAATTGTTTCTTCTTAAAGAGTTTTTCTTTCTAATATTATGAAATATAGTAAAATGCAACTAGGTAATAAGGTAGCATGAAGAATAATTGGCAGTATTGATTATTAACTCGTCATTTGACTTCTAAAACATTTTCTTTTCGATTAAAAATGTTTTATTAGGCAATTATAATGTTAAAAGAAAAACAGTTTCGAGGCTTACTTCTATAAATAAATAAACGTGAATGATAAAACATTATTGCCGAGATATAAATTTACTAAATGGTATTTTCTTTTTCTTTCTTTTTCTTTTCGATAAAAACATGAAATATCTACGTCAATGAATTCATCTAATATTGTTTGCTTGAACTGTCTCAATTGATCAATCTGTTATTGGTAATATATGCATTCTGTGTGGGTTGTCTCGATATTACTTTAAGTCACAAGTATTATAAACAAAGATGAATGATAGTTAACAGTGGAATTCAGGAGGCGCGTTTCGTTCTATTTAGGACTCGTCAGCTGGAATATACCTGCATCTCAGAATCGATGTTCAATATGAGACTTAAATGAGTATAAAGTTTCTACAGTTGAATCAACTATTTTTCATTACATTTAGAATAAATAGTAATAGTAGAAAAAAAGTTATTCATATTCTTTCAGAATTATCGAAATCTTTTTATTGTTGCATCAAATATAGAAGCACATGTTATATGTTCCACTCATATCTCTTCTTCTGTTATAATATTTGAGGGATATAGCTTTAATTGTTCAGATAGCTATTTAAAACAATACAGTTCGTTTTTATATTAAGTTTTCTATTAATTTATCATAATAAATGTTTCTTACTATGTTGTTTATGA